GGCCTTTCCACTGCCCTGCCTGACCCTTCCTTAGTTGTTCCCTGGCCCTGAATATTCTTGGTCCGTCCTTGGCCTTGTCTTTGATGTAACCCTGACTCAGCCCTGGATTTTCCCTGACCCTGCCTCAGCCCTAGTACTTAGGATTCACTGTCACTAAACCCTGGAACTACCTGGCCCTACCTTGGCACTTGCTCTGCCTTCTCTATAGCCTAGCTCTCGTTGTGCCCTGGGCATGCTCCTGCAATATTCCTGAGCTTGGCCCTAACTCCTTCAGTGCTCTGGCCTCACCTTCCCCTGCATCAGTCTTGCACTGGTCATGTTCTAGCCTGGCTCTGCCTTGGCCCTGGCCCTCCCTTCTCCATGAACTTGCCCTGGTCTTGCCCTGGGCAGACCCCAGGACTAATCTGTCCATGAACTGGTCCTAGTCCTGACCTCCCCTGCCCTGTCCCTGCCACACAGTGTGCCCTCTGCTTGGCCTAACCCTGTTCCTAGACCTGTCACTGCTATGACCCTCCCCTGCTTGTAGCCATGCCCTGTGCTACCTTAGTCCTGCTCTGGCCTAGCCCTACACTGGCTGTGTTTTGTCTTGCCCTACTTTTGCCTTGTCCTGGGCCTGCCCTTACCCTAGAAACTTCCTGGCACTGCCCTTTGTCTGGCTCTGTCCATGACCCAGCCTTGTCCTGGCCAATGGTGGCCCTGGCATTGCCCTGGCCCCCACTGGCTGTGCTTGGCACTGGACCCATCCTATGCTTGTTTGGCCCTGGCCCCTCTTGGCCCAGTATTGTCCTTGGACCTTCCCTGGCTATGACATGGTGCTGATCATGCCCTGTGTATTCCATGGATTAGACCCTGCCCTACCCTGTTTCTGCCCTGGCAAAACACTGGTCCTACCCTTCCCTAGTCTGCCTTAGCCCTATGTATCCTAGTCCTGCCTTGGCACTGACCTTGCTGTGACCTTACCTTGGTCTTCCTTACCCGCTTTTTCCCGGCTCTAGCCCCACCTTTAGCCTGTGCAGGCTCTGGTTCTAACCTAGCCCTCCTATTGCCTTGGCCCCTCACCCTTCTCTGGCCCTGCCCTTGTCCTGGCCACTTTCTGGCATCGTCGTTTTACAGGCCCTGCTCTGCCCATATCACAACTCTGGGCTTCCATGTGCCTGTCCTGCCATAGCCTGGCCCTTTCCTGGACCTGCTCTGACACTGGCCCTACCCTGTTTGACTCTATGCTAACCTAGCCCTGCCCTGCCCTGACTTTGTGCTGGGCCTGACCTTGACCTGTGTCAAGTCCTGTCCCTGCAATGTCCCTGCCCTGACCCTCATTCTTCCCTGTGTCTTACTTTGTTCTCTCCCTGGTCTTCTCCCTGTCATGACACTCGTTGTGACCCTGCCTCTCGTTTCTCACTGGCCATGATCCAGCTCAGGTCCTGTCCAGGCACCAGCCTGACCCCAGTCCTGGTTCGGCCCTGGCTGACCCATGACCGGGCACTGAATTAACCAGTACCCTGACCCTGACTTGCCCATGGCCCTCACCCTGCCCACTTGTCTTGCCATGTTCCTGATCCTCTCTTGTCCCTGGACTTTCCCTGGCTCTGGTCTTGCCCTCCTTCTGTTCCTGGCACTGCCATGGCCCTGACATTTCCCTGGCTTTTTCTGCCATAACCTTTCCTTGTTCCTGCACTATGCTGTACTTGTTCCTGCACTATGCTGTATTTGTTCCTGCCATGAAACAGTCATGCCATTGCCCTAACTTACCCTGCATGTTTTGTGCCCTGGCCCTGCCCCTCCTTAGCCGCTTTCTGGTCCCACCCTGTCTCTGCCTTGACTTTTGCCCTGGCCTGATCTGATCCTGTCATATCCCTGGCCCTAACCCTTCCCTTATCCAGGCCCTGACCCTTACCCTGCCTTGTCCTGGACCATGGCTCTGTCCTGGACATTCCCTGCCCTTCCATTCCCTGGTCTTTCTCTCATCCTAAAATGACACTGCACTGGCACTCTCTGTCTTGGCACAGCCTTGACCCTGGCCCTCCCTTCTTCCTGGTCCTGGTCTTGCACTGTCTTCCTCTGTTATGGGCCTGTACCTGGCTCTGGTCCTGCCCTGTTTCTGCTCAGTCCTGGCCCTCATCTTGGTCCTGTCATGTCCCTGGCTGTTAACCTGCCCCTGATTTTTTCCTGACCATGACCCAACCCTCTTCCTTCCCTGGCTCTGGTCCTGCCCTGGCACAGTCCTGACTGGTCACTGCCCTTTTGCTTGCCCTGCATTGCCAGTACGAGGATCCTTACCCGGCCCTGCTTCTGTCATGGCTCTCATTTGGCCATGGTCCTGATCCTACCCACTCCTCCAGCCATCCTCCTGTCATCCTCTATCCTGGCCCTGTACTGGCTGCAGCATGCCCTGGCCCAGTGTTTGTCCTTGCCCTGATCCTTGTCCTTCCCCTGCTATGGTCCAACCCTGCTTTTGGCCAAGCACTGTGCTACCTTAGTCCTACTCTGCCCTAACCCTACCCTACCCTGGCTCTATCTCTGTTTTCTCCTTGTCCTGGTTCTGCCCTGGCTCTGCCCTTACCCTGGACCCTGACTGGCCCTGAGCTGCAGTGGTCCTGTCCCTGACCCAACCTTGACCTGGACCTAAACTGGCTCCGGCAAAGTACTTGCCATGCAATTGCTGTGCCTTGGCACTGGACCCACCCTCTGTCTGCTTTGACCCTGGCCTCTCCTTGGCTCTGCATTTACCTACCCTGCCTATAGCATGGTGCTGACGTTGCCCATGCCATTGAATTGACCCTGACCTGGCCCTGTCATTCTCTGGTTCTGCCCTGGCACTAGCCCTGCCTTGGTCCTGTGTGATTTTAGTCCTTTCATTCTCATGTCCCTAACCTTGCCCTAGCCCTACCCTGGCTTGCTATGTCCCTCCCTACCCTGGTCTTGCTCTGTCCTGGCCCTGCGTTTGGCCTCCTCTGACTCAGGTTCTGAACTGGCTGTTCTTGGCTTCAACCCTCCCTGGCTTGCTTTTTCTCTGGCCCTTCTCTGGCCTTGCCCTTACCCTTGGCCTTCCCTGTCCCTGCTCTGTCATGGTCTTGGCCCTGCCCTGACCCCTATCTGCCCTGCCCTTTCCTTGTCCCTGTACTACACTGGCCCTAGCATACCCTACCCCTTCCCTGGACCTGGGCTTGCCATGCCTTCACTATGACCCTGCCTTTTGTCCTGACATGACCCCACACTTGCCAACGCTCATGATCCTGGTCCTGTTCTGTGACCTGTACTTGGACATATCGTGGGCCTGATTTGTCCCGTCCTTGCCTTGACCCTTCCCTGCCCTGTCGCCACCATGGCCTTGCCTGTTCTGCTCTCTCCCAGGACTGACTTGGCCCTGCCATGGCCCAGTAGTGTCATTGCCCTTGGCCTATCCTACCCTGGTTGTGCCCTGTCCCTGGTCCCTCCCTGGACCTGTCCTCGCCCTACCTTGGCTTTTTCTCTACCCTCTGTGTGGCCTAGCTCTGGACCTTCCCTACCATGGCCCTACCCTGTCCCTGCCATATCCCTGACCATAACCCTGCTCTTATCCAGGCCTGACCCTGACCTATCCCTAGTCCCTGGTCCTGCCAAAGTCCTGCTCTGACTCTGCCATAGTCCTGGTCCTGCTCTGTCCTGATATAGCTCTTCTCTTGAACCACCCTTCCCTGCCATGCCCTGGCTGTATCTTCACCTTGCCCTGGTCCTGCCCTTGGCCAACACTCATCCAACACTCTGGCTTAGACCCTGACCTGACCCTACCTTGGCCCTTAACCTAGCTTTGACGAGGCCCTGAACTGGACCTGGCCCTAGCCAAGACCTAGCCCTGCTCCTACACTTTGTCTTGCAACAGCCCTGGACCTGCCATGGTCCTGAACTGGACTTGGAGGTATCCTGGCTCTGAATTGCCCTGGCCCAGCCTTGGCTTGTCTCTGCTCTGGTCCTAGCATCGTCTTTCCCTGTTTTGCCCTGTCTTGGCATTGAAATGACACTACAACATCCCAGTCGTACCTACGCCCTGACCTACCCTACCTTGGCTATGCCCTGGCCCTGGTCTCACCCTTGATATTCACTGACCCTGCCTCTGCACTGGCCCTACCTTAGCATTGTCCCTGCCTTCTCTATGAACCAGTTCTGGCCATGCCCTTCCACGAGCCTACTTTGTCACAGTCCTTGTCCTGCCCCCAACCCTGGTCCTGATCCTGATCCTTATCCTACTCAGGCCCTTCCTCGACCTTGCCCCTCTGTTATGGCCCAACCCTGGCACTAACCTAGATCCTGGTCCTGGCCCTGCCCCACTTGAGGCCTTTCCTGGTTTTTCCCTGGTCCTGATCCTGTCTGACCCTGAAATGCATGACATTACCCTGGCCTTGCACTGCTCTGGCCTTGACTCTGTCTCTGTCACTGTCCTAGCCACAGTCCAGTTGCCGGTGGTGCTATGGCCCTGACCCTGTCCCCTCACTGTTCCATGAACCTGGACTATCCTTGCCCTTGTTCTGTCCCTACCCTGGCCATTCCCTGTCCTTGCCTTCGCCTTGGCACCACCCTGGTCTGGCCCCTGCCTTGGTCCTACCCTAGGTTTGATCCTACCCTGACCATCACTCTAGACTTGGCTGGGCCCTGTCTTGGGCCTGACCATAACACAGACTCAGCACTTTGGGAGGCCGAGGTAGGCAGATCACCTGAGGTCAGGAATTCAAGATCAGCCTCACCAACATGGTAAAACTCTACCTTTACTGAAAACATGAAATATAGCTGGGCGTGATGGCAGGCACCTGTAATCCCAGCTACTTAGGAGGCTAGCACAAGAGAACTGCTTGAACCCAGGAGGCAGAGGTTGCAGTGAGCCTAGACTGTGCCACTGGACTCCAGCCTGGGCGACAAGAGCAAGACTCCATCTCAAAAACAAAAAATATTAATGGGCAAAATAGTTCCAGGTTTCTAATGTTCAGTGTTCTGAGCAGTAAGCTTTCATTCCTGAAAAATGTACTTACCAGAACATTCTTCAGTGATGTCCAAGAAGTGAGGTGTGTCTGCTATGCAGAGATGAGTCAGCAGTAGTCAAGAAGCAGGCGGCTTGTCAACTCTGCCACACCAGAAACGACACTCAGCAGGGCTTAGCAACAGCAGTCTCCCCTCCGAACCCACAAGGTAAAGTCTAGGAGGAAGCAAGAGGGGAATTAGCAATGTTACAGAGGAACTGCTGAGCTGGGGGGCCCCACAGGAAGGAAAATGCCAGGAAGATAGAAGCTTCTGGCCACAGTGTTCTCACGTGGATTGTAATTAATAAGTAGCTTTGGCAGCCAACTCAGAGCAAGCTCATGAGGAGAGATGGGGTCACAGAGCTGTCTGGCAGTTCTGGAGTTAAGCCCGGCCCTGGAGGAGCTGAAATCCAGGGTGCCACCTGCATCTGCATGGCTGGAATCAAGTCCATCACTTATTCTCCTCTTCCCTCCAAACTATCACTGTAAGAGCCTGCTCTGCCACTTACTAGCTGTGTGACCTTAGGCAAGTTACTTCATGTTTCTGAGCCTCAGTAAATGGCAGCTAGTATTATTGTTCATTGTTCTCAAAAGTGGTTAAATTTTTATAGGGTCATGCACAGCCATAATCAGTTAGCACTGGGAAAGGCAAACATTTCTTCTGATGCATTAGGTGGTAAATATTTAGACACATATATATACTTATATCATACATACATAGCTACAGGCACTCAGACACTGGCTTTTTCACCAACAGCACTGACTTTCTGGCCAAGACTGGATTGATCAGTGGTCCTTCTCATGCCGCATTTTCATGTGAAGTGTCAAAGGCTGCTGCCTTCTCTGTCCTGTCATTACACAACACTGAGTGAGCCCACTCTGGCCCCACTCCTGAAACCTCAGGACTGGGATCAGGAAGTGAGACGCCAGGGGCCTCTCTTGCCCTGAAGTTCTAGCTACAGCCCCAGCTCTGGGCTCACCCAGGGGCCGTGTTTGTGCACTCCCAGGCCAGTGTGGGCTACACTGTGTCCCCCCTTAGAAGACCTGGGGATGCTGAAATGAACCAGATGTGTCAGCAGCCAGAGAGAAAGGCAGCGGCTAGTGTGGCCACTCACTGGGGACTCCCTGCATCCCTGGGCTGGTGTGGTTAGAATGACAGAAAGATAAGAAACCTGAAAAGACCAATTATGGGTAATGCAATTAAAGTAGTAATAAACAGTCTCCTGTCAAGGAAAAACACAAGAATCATGGTTAGCAGCCTTTGACACTTCACATGAAAATGTGGCATGAGAAGGACCACTGATCAATCCAGTCTTGGCCAGAAAATCAGTGCTGTTGGTGAAAAAGCCAGTGTCTGAGTGCCTGTAGCTATGTATGTATGATATAAGTATATATATGTGTCTAAATATTTACCACCTAATTGATGAATTCAATGAAATATTTTTAAACGAGCTAATACCAATTTTTCTTAAAATATCTGCCCAAAAATGAAGAGGAAGAAATACTTCCAAACTTGTTTTATGAGGCCAGCACTACCCTGGTACAAAAACCAGACCAAAACACAACATAAAAAAGAAAAATACAGGCAAATATCCTTGTTGAACACAGATACAAAAAACCCTCAACAAAATACATGAAAACTGCATTTGACAAGACAATAAAAGAATCATCTGCCATGACGAAATGGGATTCATCTGAGGAATACGAAGCTGATTCAACAAACACAAATATGTACATATGCTACATCACATTCAGTAAATTAAGAAAAAAACCATATAATCATTTCAGTAGATGCTGAAAAACATAAAATTCAACATTCCTTCATAATAAAAATTCAAGAAAGCTATTTCATTACTGCTGCCACCAACAAAAGATACCTGGGGACAACCAAAAAGTTGGCTAAATTTTAATAGGGAAAACAATGAAAATACCTTGGACATGTTAGTTAAAACTTGACACTATAAAATATGTTCTACAAAGATAAAATCTTTAGAAAACGTAGCATAAACAGTGTCTCTTATGCAGTTTTTTGAGAGAGTCTTGCTCTGTTGTCCAGGCTGAAGTACACTGGTGTGATCTCAGCTCACTGCAACCTCTGCCACACGGGTTAAAGCGATTCTCCTGCTTCAGCTTCCTGAGGACCTGGGATTACAAGTGCATGCTACCACGCCTGGCTAATTTTTGTATTTTTATTAGAGATGGGGTTTTGCCATCTTGGCCTGGCTGGTCTTGGAACTCCTGACCTCATGATCCACCCATCTCGGCCTCCCAAAATGCTGGGATTACAGGTGTGAGCCACTGAGCCAGCCTGTAGTATTTTTTCTATATATTATCTTATTTGGTCTTCACAATTCTTCTTTTTTGAGACAGTCTCGCTCTGTTGCCCAGGCTGGAGTGCAGTGGTGTGAGCTCACCTCCCGGGTTCAAGTGATTCTCCTGCCTTAGCCTCTCAACTAGCTGGGGTTACAGGCATGCACCACCACGCCCAGCTAATTTTGTAGTTATAGTAGAGATAAGGTTTCACCATGTTGGCCAGGCAGGCCTTGAATTCCCGGCATCAAGTGATTCACCCTGCCTTGGACTCCAAAAGTGCTAGGATTATAGGCACGAGCCACTGCACCAGGCCTGCTCCACATTACTGAAGGAAAATGGGCCATGGTAGGCCAAGCAACGTGCCAACCTGGGCTCAGGTGATTACTGCTGGAGCAGACATCAAAGGAAGTTAACCTTGCCAGCACCCAACTTGATCTTCCCTGCTGGAAAAGTCTGTCTTTCCTCCTGCCTGCCAGGTGGGTGGTCAGGTACTGGCTGAGGAGACTTCTCTGTAAGATGGTGCTGGGGAAACATTTAACAAAAGCAGAAATATAGACAGGCACACAATGAGAGGTGCTGAGAGGGTTCTGGCCTACCCAGCATCCAAAAGCTGCCCAGACTGATACCTAGCAAGCACATGGCTTTCAAAGAACCAGAGGCCACTGGTTCAGCCACCAGGACTAACATTTAGGACAAGACATTTGGCAGCTTCTTTCTAATCTTTAAACTTGAAGCATGCAAGTCAGATGGAGGGTCAAGGCCTGGCTCAGCCATTGATCAACCATGTCACCTTGGACTCCTCCTTTCTCTGGGCCAGTTTCCTCATCCACAAAGTGGGGATAGTAACTGCACCTCCCTTGTAGGACTATGAGAATAATTAGGATGCATACAACTTAGAAGAGTGGCCAAGAAACTACAGACCACTGCCTATTTCTACACAGGGGTTTCAATGGGACACAGCCAGACTCATTCCCCATACATATTGTCCACACTGCATGGACAGAGACCACACGGCCTGCACGACTATCAGCAGTCACTACCTGGATCTTGACAGGTAACCCTGGCTTAGAATGATGCCTGGAGCATGAGAAGTACTCATGAAATGTTAGCTATTATTTAAACCCAAAGTCACCTTTAGCATGATAAATGTGAGTATGTGCACAAAGATACAGACACAAGCACTGATTGTAGTGGTGTAAAACAGTAAATAACTATGACATTAATTAACAAGAGGCTGATAAAATTATCGAACATCCATACTACAGAATACCATAGTCATCCGGCTGGGCACAGTGGCTTGTACCTGTAATCCCAGAACTTTGGGAGGCTGAGGCAGGAGGATCACTTCAGGTCAGGAGTTCAAGACCAGCCTGGGCAACATGGTGAAACTCCATCTATACTAAAAGTACAAAAACTAGCCAGGTGTGGTGGTGCATGCCTGTAATATCAGCTACTGGGGAGGGTGACATTGGAGAATCGCTTGAACCAGGAGGCAGAGGTTGCAGTGGGCCGAGTTTGCACCACCATGCTCTTGTCTGGGCCACAGATAAAGAGTCTGCCTCAAAAAGAGAACAAAACACTATACAGCCACTTAAAAGACTAAGGGAAATCTGTGTGTATACACTGTATATATCAACATGTAAAGATTGCTAAGATGTTTAAATAACCAAACATCATTAAGTGAAAAATGTATGATAACATATACAATATGCCCTCACTATGTTATAAAAAAATTACGTATGCACAGCAAAGACCGTATACTACTTAAAAGTACCAAGGGAATTTCACTTTCAGCATACATGTTGGTTCCATACTATTTAATGTTTTTAATGAACTATAGTTTCATAATTTTTCTCATTACTTTATCATTTTAGTCTCTCTCAGGCTATACCCAAGAGCCACACTTTTAAAACCTTTCTATCTTTACGCTTCAGGGACAAACCAGAGCACGGCTGAATCTCCACTCCTTATGCTAAATGAAGCAAGCCAGACTCCAAGCCCACATGTGACTTTCTGGAAAAGGCAAAGGAGCAGGACTAAGGAACAGACAGGTGGCTGCAGGTGCAGGGAGGAGGAGAGAGGTTGCCTTCCTGAGTATCCTGACTGTGGTGGAGTCACTGTAGTCCATGCATCTGTTAAAGCTCACTGAACTAACTGCATGCCAAAAAGTAAATCTTACTATATGTAAATTTTAAAGTAAATTTAAACACACACACAAACTTAGGGGATACATTTTCTTTGAGCATGGCACACAGACAGTCATCTTAACACAGGACTTCAGGGTGCATTGGTTGCAGGGACCCTACAAGTGCACACCTGCCACAGCCCGCACCCACCCACAACATGACTCGTTCTTCCAGGCTCCCTGCCTGTGGGTCTAGACTTCACATGGAAAGCACTGGCCAGCAGAGGCATAGGGCAGCACATGTGGGGCCCCGCAGGTTCTGGCCTGTCCCGGGCTCTGTTGCAGCTACCAAGCTGTCAGGCACAGCGACACACACCCGCATGTGCAACCCCATGGCTCCGGCCATGCCTCACCCCAGAGTCCACCCGATGACTCCAGGATACACCACTGCTCCTGGCGTGGCCACGGTGCCCTCCACTGCCAGAAAACAAATGCTCCAAGCCTCAGTCCCCAGGGGTTCCGCGCAGCACTTGGCTCCACCCACAGCCGTTCCCTGAGTGGACTTCATGGCAGAGCAGGCACCGTCCCGACGCCCCTCTCGGTGGCTCATGCTTGCAATCCAAGCACTTTGGGAGGCCAAGATGGGCAGATCACCTATCACCTGAGGTCAGGAGTTCAGATCAGCCTGGCTAACATGGTGAAACCCTGTCTCTACTAAAAACACAGAAAATTGGCTGGGCGTGGTGGTGGGTGTCTGTAATCCCAGCTACTCAGAAGACTGAGGCAGGAGAATCACTTAAGCCAGGGAGGCAGACCTTGCAGTGAGCCAAGATCACACCACTGCACTCCAGCCTAAGTGATGGGAGTGAAATCCTCAAAAAAAAAAAGGCAAATGATCCGAACAGACATTTATCCAGAGAAGTCATACAAATGGCCAATAAATAGATGAAAAAAATGCTCAGTATCACTAATTACTAGAAAAAATGCAAGTCAAACCACAATGAGGTAACATTTCGGCCCAGTCAGGATGGCTATTTATCACAAAGACAAAAAATGACAAACGCTGGTGAGGATGTGGAGAAAAGGGAACTCTGACACAATGTTGATGGGAATATAAACTAGTGCAGACACTACGGAGAACAGTTTGAAGGTTCCTCAAAAAACTACCAGTAGAACTACTATAGCAATCCCACTGGTGGGCATTTGCCCAAAGGAAGGGAATCAGGAGACATCTGCACCCCATGTTTAATGCAGCACTATTCACACAGCCAAGATACGGAATCAACCCAGGTGTCCAACAACAGATGAATGGGTAAAGAAATTGTGGTACACACACACACACACACACACACACAGAGATAAACAAGAATGAATCCTGTCATTTGCAGCGACACTGATGGAAATGGTGAACATTATGTGAAGTGAAATAAGCCAAGAACAGGAAGTTAAACACTACGTTTTCACTCATATGTGGTAGCTAAAAAATGTTTATCTCATGTTAGTAAAAAGTAGAACAGGATACTAGATGCTGGATTTTGCAGGGAAAGGGGAGGAAGGTATTTGTTAAAGGATACAAACGGCTAGCTGGAAGGAATAAGTTCTAGTGTTCTGTATCACTATGGGATGCCTACAGTTAGTAAAACAGTTATACATAACTAAGAGGAGGACACTGAATGTTCCCAACATAAAAAAGTAGTAAATGTTTCAGGTGATGAAAATGCTAATTATCCTGATCTGATCACTATCACTGTATCAAAAACCACTATGTACTCCACAAACATGTGCAATTATTATGTCAGTTTATAAAAACAATAGAAAAAAACAAATGGCTGGGAATTATTTTTTAAAGTTCCAGTCCTAAGGAATCTGGAGTGAGGAAAATGAATGTGGAACTTATTGTCACTTCCTTTTTAAACACGGCACTAAAAGCTTTCAATAAGACAATCTTTTTAAAAATCAAGAGCAGCATGATCATTAATTCTATTGTGATTCGTAATTATCACTGAAATAAGAAGGTGTGATGACTTGCAAACTACAAAATATTCAGGTATCAGGATGACAAGAGGGAGTAGGGTCAAGTGTCCCAACACCGAGAAGACACAGAACACGGAACAGGTACCTCCGGCTGTGGCCTGGCAGGTGGTGCTCTCTGCACACTGCAGGTTCTTCAGCAGCTGCATGGACTTGTCAGCCTTTATGATCTGCTTCAGGACAGCTTTGAGGAAGGACACCTTGGTGTGCTGCCTGCAGGAGGGCCCCTAGTCACTGCCGGAACTCGCACTTGCATTATCACTCATTTTTTTCTTCACTTTCTGTCTTTTCTGACACGCTGTATAATGTGTAAGTTGCATACCAGAAATCTGTGATTAACTGGAACATTTTTGTTTCTAAAGAGATTCAAAATAATTTTAAACTTTAACTTCTCTTCCTTAAAAGTGGTATACTTGTTCTAGTTTGTTGTCCAGACATTATAAAACATAACAATATTAATTATTAGTAAATTGAAACAATCTTTCAGCAAATGGGGCAGTTTTAATCTAATGTCAGTTTAGAGAGAAAAGGGAACGAATACTTTCAACAGTACAGGTAAAATTTAATTAAGTAGAAACAGTTTCCTGAATTGGAATTATTTAAAATATGACTAATTTGGTCCTCTTTAGAAGTAGAATACAAGTTTTTCCCATTTACCATCTCTACCGTTTTCCCTACCAAAATTCTTAACTGGACTACTTTTAACAATAAAATGATGGTCAATCATCACCCTACAAGAACAGTCAGAGTCCCATTTTTCACAGAAATTCTCACGTGAGACTGATGAATCAGGACACAGTGACAGACAAGAGACTACATGGAAGGGAGGTCAGTTCACTTATGTGAGCATCACATACATATTGCTACGCTTCCAAAACAGTAAGGACTTAAAGTTATCCTTCCTGATGCATTCAATGGACAGGGATAGCTATCAACAGAAACCATACATCTAAATACACCACATCATTTAAAATTGGGTTAAAAGAGTACCAATAGCTCTACATTATAGTTTATATGATTCTGTTCAGAAAAATCAAATAACTGAAGGGGAATTGTCATAAATGGATTAAGATTTTTCTTAATTGTTTTATTAAATATTATATTAAGGTATTGGTTGAATTCATTCATTTCAGAGAACAGTAAAAAAAATTACAGTAAGGTAAAAGAAATGAGTAGCTAATTCTGAGAAATAAATGTATTAGAGGCATACTCTGTAGTATTTCTGTATCTCTTTACTGATATCTTACACTGGAAATAGCGGAAACCATCTGATATCACCTAAACTCATTTTACGGGAAGCAGTGTACACTAGCTAGCCATAAATACACTACCATCCAGATATATGATTTGCTTAGAAGTTGTGAACTGACAAAACCTGGACAAAGATATTAATCATCAGCTGGTATTACTGATGCCTTCCACATAAATGAAATAGAACTAGCCTATGATGACTACAAGTTCTGTGATGTGGACTGTACTTTCTTAGTACTGTTTGAAACTAATGAAAAATTTGATTTTCACAGGGAGCAAACTGGTGACGCCAGCCCCCAGCGACTTTGTGCTCTGCTGCAGCTCACCTCTGGATGATGAACTCCCTAGTGTCGTCCCACAGGTGCCCATGCACAATCCATTCATCCACTGTCTGCAGGTAAGGCCACACCATTTCCATCCAGGGAGAGAACAGGAGGGAGACCTGTGGAGGCAGAGGGAGTATGCACGGTCAGCTCTCAGGGCTCCCCGGCCACTAGAACAAAAGGAGGTTTAAACATTTCTGAAATGCCTTGAAATTAAAAAATCCAAAATCATATGCTATAAAATCCGCATGAAAAACTCACCTAAGTATGCAAGCATCATATTGTTTGCAGTCCAGACTGGGAAACTTGAGAGTGAAAATGACACAGAGGCAGGTGTGACCTGAGACAGCCCTAGCAGGTGAGCAAGGTTTCCCTATTTAAATTGCACTACTAGCAAGGTGTCTATTAAGAGTGAGGAAATTATTTAATTCCAGTAGCTCTCAGAGGATAAAAAATGGCAGTGCTGAGAGAAAATCAAGCTCTTTTATATTGAAATGCAGTATTAAATTGGTGAGAAAAAAAGTCATACCAATGAACTAGAAAATACACCTAATATACATACCCAAATAAAACTGCAGCATTCTAGATTACAGCCTGTAGATTTTTTAATCAATATATTGTTTGAGACAGGGTCTTGCTCTGTCACACAAGCTGAAGTGCAGTGGTGCAAACATGGCTCACTGGAGCCTCGACCTTCCACACTCAAGCAATCTTCCTGTCTCAGCCTCTCGAGTACCTGGGATCACAGGCATGGCTACTACTACACAGCTCGCTACTTTTTTTTTGAGAGAGAGTGTCGCTCTATCACCCAGGCTGGAGTGTAGTGGCATGATCTCAGCTCACTGTAACTTCCTAGGTTCAAGTGATTCTCCTGTCTCAGCCTCCTGAGTAGCAGGGGCTATAGATGTTCACCACCATACTCGGCTGATTTTTGTATTTTTAGTAGAGATGGGGTTTCACCATGTTGGCCAGGCTGGTCTCAAATTCCTGGCATCAACACACCTGGCTACTTTTAAAATTTTTTATAGAGACAGGGTCTTAGTATGCTGCCCAGGCTGGTCTCAAATTCCTGGGCTCAAGTGATCTTCTCACCTCAGACTCCTAAGTAGCTGGGACTACAGGTGTGAGCCACTATGCCTGGCCTAGATTTGTATTTTTTAAATGCAATATAAAATATATAACATAAAATTTATCATCTTACCCATCTGTTTCTTTTTCAAATTTTAATTTAACTTATTTTTTCTAAAGACAGGGTCTCACTAAATTGGCCAGGCAAGTCTCAAACTCCTGGGCTTAAGCAGTCCTCCCTTGGCCTCCTGAAGTGTGGGGACTATAGGCATGAACCACTGTGCCCCACCCTCACCATTTTTAAGTTCAGAGGTTTTAAGTACATTCGCATTGTTGTGACAAATCTCTGGAACTTTTTCATGTCATGTAACTGACACTATGTACCCATTAAATAACAGCTCCCTCCTGTCCTTGGTAACCACCATTCCACTGTGTTTCTGTGAATGTGACTACGTCAGACACTTCATGTAACAGGCTTAGTGTTTATGTAAGGAAGCGTTATTGTACATGTCTACATACCTCGGCAAGGCATGTCTCACATGCTGCTTTGCCCTCACCTCATCCTTCTGAGGGTCTTGGCAGTCAGAGCTGAAAAGTTGTTTCCTACAGCCTCAAATTTGGAAGCTAATTTGACAACTCTGAACTGTCCAACAAGCCATCATTCCAGTATCATTAAGCACAGAACCATGACCAGCCGTTTCCCACCCCTGTGCTGTGCAGAATGGAGTCGCGTACTTTAGGCAGAAGTCTCACATACGGTTTGCTCAGAGGCCTCTCCAACATTGTCATATTCGAGGATGGCCTTGTACAGGGTGTTGAGCAGGTGGGAGGCCTGGACGACATTTCGAGTATCAGGTGGAACTTCTGCTTCTCTGGTACTAAACACTCTGTGCAGAACCTTGAGCTGAGCCAATCGAGGCGACAGCTTGTCCACCACTATTGCAAGAGTTACTGCAGCATCTGTAAATGTCAACAGATCAAACTCAATAGCAAGGAAAAATACATGCATCTAAAATGTGACATAAATGCTGGCGAATCATCAGGTTTACGAGCAGGCAGGGGAAATGAAGGATGGTGGATTTTGATCGCACATCACAAGGACCCAACTTCCCTAAGGAAGAACTCCTGCAAGTCATGGAGAAAAAGGTAACTCAGCAGAAAAATAATATATAAAGAAACTGTCAGTTCATAGAAAAGGAAAGATGAGTGGTTCTAAAACAAATAGAAGGTCACTCGACCTTACTTATAATTAAAGAATGCAAATTAAAATTATACTAGGTAAAGCAAAACACCTCCCCATGGGCCAATGTTAGTGCAGGAGGATGTGCCTACAGAGGGCTGCACAAGCTCCTGTGAGGCGATGGCACAGCTGGGACCTCAACATGGAAGTCACCATGTGGAGCCAGACATGTGATAAAATGGCCTGGAACTATACATGAAGATACTACACCCACCCCTGCTCAAAGCAAGTTTCTGCAACACTGGGAAACGGTATCAGGTCTGCAGCTTGGCTAATGGGCCAGGCCAGTGTTAGTTTCCCAGTTTTGATCACGTACTATAATTATGTGAGGTTTTGCCAGTGGGGGAAGCAAAGTAATGGGAACACAGGACCTCTCTGCATTATTTTCTGTGGTACTTCAAAATAAAAGTTAAGGGTAAAAGCTACATGGATTAACATTTTACATCTACCATAATGGTGAGGACCAAACGTCTGACAACACACAGATGGCAAGAGTGTGAGGCAACAGGTATTCATCTACATGGCTCACAAGACTATACATTTATTTACTTGTACCTCCCCCTAAAGAAAAGTGGCAAAACTCAGCAAAATCATACATGGCAATTCCATTTATAAGAACCTACCCTACATGGTCAGGTGTTGTATAATCCCAGCTCGTACCTGTAACACCAGCATTTTGGGAAGCTAAGGTGGGCAGATCACCTGAGGCCAGGAGTTCAAGAGCAGCCTGGTCAACATAGTGAAACCCTGTCTACCAAAAATACAAAAAATTAGATGGGCATGGTGGCATGTACCTGTAGTCCCAGCTACTCAGGAGGCTGAGGCAGGAGAATCACTTGAACCCAGGAGGCAGAGGCTGCGGTGAGCTGACATAGCGCCACTGCACTCCAGCCTAAGCAACAGAGTAAGACTCTGTCTCAGAAAAACAACAAACAAACAAATAAAAAACCAAGAAAGCTCTTCATATTTTTATGGTATTAACCTCAAAATTTAAATTAGAAATATTTGAAGAGAGTAGTGTAATGACTGTTACGTATGGGTGTATGTATATGCACTGCTTGTGTATGTTGAACTCTTTCTGGAAGGATGTGTAAGAACCTGAGGACCTGGCTGTCTCTGGGGAGGGGAACCGACTGGCTGGAGAACTGGAGAAGGAAGACAAATTTAGATTTTTCAGTCTAAACCCTCTGTAGTTTTTTGATTTTGAGAGATATGAATGGGTTAAAAATATAAATTTAATTTAAAAAATGAAGTATTCATGAGAACTACTTATTTGCCAGGCAACTTTCAAATTCTATATAATGAAAAATCTAAATGGCATTCCAATTATGAGTTATGTGTAGTACGAGTAAAACTGAAGAACATTTAATACCGTTACTGATGATGCACTTCTCAATTTCTGCAAGTTCCTCTTTGAAACCAATGACGTATTTGTACAGGGCCCACATGAAAGCCTGGTAGGTTCTAAAGGGAGCTTCAGGTGACTTCTTAGGAACAGACCCACTTCCAGGCAGCATACTTTCGGAACTGTGTCCCATGACTTCGTCAATGAACTCCTGGAGTCGAAATACAACCTGGCCATACGCTGCTATTTGTTCCAGCACAGATCGTAAACAGCTCTATGACAGAAGCAAACCGCAGTTATTCAAAGGTGATCTTCCGTAAACATTCAAATTCATTTCCCTCTCACTGTAAAATATTTCTTTTACAATTCTTTTAAATAGTATGTTTAGTAGAAGGCAAAGTCATAAAATGATGAATAATTTATACACAAAGGAAAAAGAGTGAGCATTAAATTCAACAGACTAGAAAATTATGGCTTATATTTTTTAAAAATATACATAAGGTAATCTACTTAAGGGAAAAAAATTACAGTATATAGCTTTTAAAATACAGAATGACAGATCTAAATAGCAGAAAATGCAAACTGAAATTAAATATGTCCCAAACAATATTAAGGAATTTTCTTAAGTACTATAAAGATGCACAACTCAATTTTTCTTTCTGGATATTAAATATTTATTTATTCATTTTTGAGACGGAGTCTTGCTCTGTCACCCAGGCTAGAGTACAGTGGCATGATTTCAGCTCACTGCAACCTCAGCCTCCCAGGTTCAAGCAACTGTCTTGCCTCAGCCTCCCAAGTAGCTAGAATTACAGGTGACTGCCACTGTGCCTGGCTAATTTTTATATTTTTTAGTAGAGACAGGGTTTCACCATCTTGGCCAGGCTGGTCTTGAATTCCTGACCTTATGATCTACCCACCTCAGCCTCCCAAAGTGCTGGGATTACAGGAGTGAGCCCCTGTGCCTGGCCTGGATATTAAATAATTTTAAATTAATCTTTTTTGCATAAGGAAGCACAAACGAGTTCAATTATAGTTAATTTTAATACTGCAAAATGTTCTAAAATTATATTGCCACAGTTTACATAAATCCTATTATTTCTTAAATAACAATAAATACAAATAACTTATGTTAAATGAGTTACTATAATATTGTTTCTCACAGTTACTTTCTCATCTACCAGCTGAAATATAAAGAGCTTTTTCATTCCTGAAAGTAACCTGAAATTAGATAAAAAAGATGAGTCTAGAAAAATATTCATGACAGTATGCCCAGAAAAAAAATTTTTTTACAGGGTCTCACTTTGTCACCCAGGCTGGAGTGCAGTAGTGATCACAGCTCACTGCAGCCTCAACCTACTGGGTTCAAGTGATTCTCTAGCCTCGGCCTCCTGAATGGCTGGGGCTGCAGGTAAATGTCACCATGCCTGGCTAATTTTTAAATTTTTTTGTAGAGATGGGGGCTTCACCATGTTGCCTAGGCTGCTCTTGAACTTCTGATCTCAAGTGATCCACCTGCCTTGGCCTCCCATAGCACTGGGATTATAGGTGTGAGCCACCATGCCCCGCTTCAGGAAATTTTTATTAAATATTCAGAATTAAGGGGTAACAAGGTCAGATAATAAGAAAATGGAAGACATCAATCTTTTCATCTGATTACCTTACGACTCAAGATATCTCAACATCATCTTACAGAGAAGTCCAAGACATATTGTCAGAGCATCTCCCCCATATACTGGATAACCCAAAGAGATCTTCCTATTTCTAAGAATGCCAACATGTCAATATCGTACTTTATAGGGAGAGCACTGGGACTTGGAATTTTAGGAGTAACAGCACCACGTGCTGCATTAGATTTCCAGCCTCCAGGTACGGGCACAGGCCCTCACTGATACTCTCTGTCTATTAAGAATAGCAGTAAACCTTGCTTTGAACTCAAGTGTTAAACAAGTGATGGACTAATCTAAGTAAATCATATGCTAAACTATTTAAAATAAAAATGAAGTAAATATGTCAAAATCTCTCAATCTCCACAGTCAAATCTGGTCTGAATTTTACACCTAACGGTCTATTCCTAGTTTGCATGTGAAAATGCTTTAATAGTTTTCTTTAATAAAATTTTTGCTTCGCAGTAATCAAGCATCATAAATAAAGACTATTAATTAAGTGAATATATCTTACCACAGGGTTTCCAGAATAACCTGAGTCTCGGTAACGAAAACCCTGTCATCTGGAACATACAATGGATCACTGCTGTACAAGTGTTAGTCCCTATGAGACAGCAAAGATAAACGTCAACAGAAAGGTTTCTAAGTAAGTAAATAATCTCAAAGAATATTTGCAATTTAGAGCTAACCTTAACTGGCTATGAATTAGCAAGTACACATAATAAATGGCTTAAATGCCCCCTATGTTTTGACATCACTCAAAATCCTGAGAAACACTTTCAGAACAGCTGCAATTGTTACATTTATTGCTGATTTAGGCAAATGTTTACAACTATGTGATGCTGTTTTCTGGAAAACATTGTCTATTTTTATAGTAAGTATACCAAAACAGCAATCAAATAATGCCCTAATATGTACCAATCCATTTACCTTGAAATTAACAAAAAAATTGAAATACAGATTATAATTAAATACTATAATTTTTTTATTTTCAACAATTAAATAATCAAAAACTATTCAACTAGAATTTTCAACACTGGCCAGGTGTGCTGGCTCATGTTTGTAATTCCAGCACTTAGGGAGGCCAAGGCAGGTGGATCACTTGTGGACAGGAGTTTGACATCAGTCTGGCCAACATGGTGAAACCCCATCTCTACTAAAAATATAAAAATTAGCTGGGTGTGGTGATGTGTGCCTGTAATCCCAGCTACCTGGGAGGCTGAAGCATGAGAACTGCTGGAACCAGGGAGGCAGAGGCTGGAGTGAGCCACGATTATGCCACTGCACTCCAGCCAAGGTGACAGAGTGAGACTTTCTCTCCCTCCCGCCAAAAATCAATAAATAAAAAATAAAAAATTAGTTGGGTGAGGTGAAGACTGCAGTGAGTTGAGATATCACCACTGCATTACAGCCTGGGCAACTACAATAAGACTCTGTTCAAAAAAGAAATTGTCAAAACCAAAACAAATTTAAATTTCAGAGAGGAACTGAAGTCACAAATCAAAGCCAAATGTTTAAACATCAAAGTTTTTTCTATTACCACATTAAATGAAAACTTTAGCTTCTTACCAGATAGCAGCTAAACTGGAGTGCAAATGTAAGCTATGAGGAAACTGGGAGGGCCTGGCTGTCCAGTACTGATGGACCACGTGATGTTCCAGCCAGCTTCGGTCATCTGGATCATCTGCTAGAAAGAAATGTAGTAAGTTTGAGTTATAATAGCTAACAACAACAATAACAACAACAAATACTGGGTCACACTATCTGGACTTACAGATCCATTCAAATGCATAGTTGAAAATGGCTTTTTAAAAATAACAGCAACCTGACACTAATACAGAAGATGGTGCTGTAGGACAAACTTCGGATTGCAGCTCCCAGTGAAACCACAGACGAAACTTCATCATCAACAATCTGGACGTCCACTCAGAGACCCAATCGGAAAATCAGCAACTACACAGACGAGAGGTGGATAAATCCACAAGGATGGGAAGAAACCAGCGCAAAAAGGAGGAAAACACCCTAAACCAGAACGCCTCGCCTACTACAAGGGAACACAACTCCTCACCAGCAAGGGAACAGCTGGACGGAGAATGAGTGTGATGAAATGACAATCAGACTTCAGAAGGTGGGTAATGAGAAACTTCCGTGAGCTAAAAGAACATGTTCTAACTCGGTGCAAAGAAACAAAGAACCTTAAAAAAAGATTTGAAGAAATGATAACAAGAACGGACAAGTTAGAGAGGAACATGAGTGAATTGAAGGAGCTGAAAAACACAACAAGAGAACTTCGCAAAGCATGCACAAGTTTCAACAGCCGAATTGACCAAGCAGAAGAAAGGATATCAGAAGTCAAAGATCAACTCAATGAAATAAAATGAGAAGCCAAGATGAGAGAGAAAAGTGCAAAAAGGAATGAACAAAGTCTCCAAGAAATGTGGGACTATGTGAAGAGAACTAACCTACGTTTGATAGGTGTACCTGAATGTGACGAAGAGAATAAATCCAAGCTGGAAAATACTCTTCAGAATATTATCCAGGAAAATTTCCCCAACCTAGCAAGGCAGACCAATATTCAAGTCCAGGAAATACAGAGAACACCATAAAGATATTCCACAAGAAGAGCAACCCCAAGGCACATAATCGTCAGATTCACCAGGGTTGAAATGAAGGAGAAAATGCTAAGGGCAGCCAAAAAGAAAGGTCAGGTCACCCACAAAGTGAAGCCCATCAGACTCACAGCAGATCTCTCGGCAGAAACCCTACAAGCCAGAAGAGAGTGGGGGCCAATATTCAACATCCTTAAAGCAAAGAACTTTCAACCCAGAATTTCATATCCAGCCAAACTGAGCTTCATAAGTGAAGGAAAAATAAAATCCTTTTCAAACAATCAAGTACTCAGAGATTTTGTCACCACCAGGCCTGTTTTACAAGAGCTCCTGAAAGAGGCACTACACATAGAAAGGAACAACCAGTACCAACCATTCCAAAAACATACCAAATGCTAAAGAGCATCAACAAAATGAAGAATCTGCATCAACTAACGGGCAAAACAGTCAGCTAGCATCAAAATGGCAGGATCAAATTCACACATAACAATATTAACCCTAAATGTAAATGGGCTCAATGCACCAATCAGAAGACACAGACTGGCAAATTGGATAAAAAAACAAAACCCATCAGTGTGCTATATCCAGGAAACCCATCTCACATGCAAGGATACACAAAGGCTCAAAATAAAGGGCTAGAGGAAGATTTACCAAGCAAATGGAGAGCAAAAAAACGCAGGAGTTGCAATTCTCGTCTCTAATAAAATAGACTTTAAAGCAACAAAGATCAAAAAAGACAAAGAAAGACCTTACATAATGGTAAAAGGATCGATACAACAAGAAGAGCTAACGATCCTAAATATATATGGACCCAATACAGGAGCACCCAGATATATAAGGCAAGTTCTTAATAATTTACAAAGAGACTTAGACTCCCACACAATAATAGTGGGAGACTTTAACACTCCACTGTCAATATTAGACAGATCAACCAGACAGAAAATCAACAAGGATATCCAGGGCTTGAACTCTGACCTGGAGCAAGCAAACCTGATAGACATTTACAGAACTCTCCACCCCAAATCCACAGAATATACATTCTTCTCAGCACCACATCAAACCTACTCTAAAACTGACCACATAATTGGAAGTAAATCACTCCTCAGCAAATGCAAAACAACTGACATTATAACAAACAGTCTCTCAGACCATAGTGCAATCAAGTTAAAACTGAGAATTCAGAAACTAACTCAGAACCGCACAACTTCATGGAAACTGAACAACTGGCTCATGAATGCTGACTGGATAAACAATGAAATGAAGGCAGAAATAAAGTTCTTCGAAACCAATGAGATCGAAGACACAACATACCAGAATCTCTAGGACACATTTAAAGAAGTCTCCAGAGGAAAATATATAGCAATAAGTGCCCACATGAGAAGAGTGGAGAGATCCAAAATTAATACCCTAACTTCAAAATTGAAAGAGCTGGAGGAGCAAGATCAAAAAAACTCAAAACCTAGCAGAAGACAAGAAATAACTAAGATCAGAGCAGAACTGAAGGAAATAGACACACAAAAAACCCTTCAAAAAATCAATAAATCCAAGAGCTGGTTTTTTGAAAAGATCAACAAAATAGACAGACCACTAGCCAGATTGATAAAAAAAAAAAGAGAATAACCAAATAGACGTAATAAAAAACGAGAAAGGGGAAATCACCACCGATTCCACAGAAATTCAAACCATCATCAGAGAATATTACAAACAACTCTATGCACATAAACTAGTAAACCTGGAAGAAATGGATAAATTCCTGGACACTTGTGTCCTCCCAAGCCTAAACCAGGAGGAAGCTGAAACTATGAATAGACCAATAACAAGGTCTGAAGTGGAGGCAGCAATTAAGAGCATACCAAACAAAAAAAGCCCAGGTCCAGATGGGTTCACAGCCAATTTCTACCAGACACACAAAGAGTAACTGTTACCATTCTTTCTGAAACGATTCCAAATAATCCAAAAAGAGGGAATCCTTCCCAAATCATTTTATGAGACCAACATCATCCTGATACCAAAACCCGGCAGAGACTCAACAAGAAAACTTCAGGCCAATATCCATGATGAACATAGACGCAAAAATCTTCAATAAAATACTGGCAAGCCGACTGCAACAGCACATCAAAAAGCTTATCCACCATGATCAAGTAGGATTCATCCCAGGGATGCAAGACTGGTTCAACATACGCAAGTTTATAAACGTAATTCACCACATAAACAGAACCAAAAACAAAAACCACATGATTATGTCAATCAACGCAGAGAAGGCCTTTGACAAAATTCAACAGCCGTTTATGCTAAAAACCCTCAATAAACTCGGTATTGATGGAACGTATCTCAAAATAATAAAACTATTTACGACAAACCAACAGCCAATATCATACTGAATGGGCAAAAACTGGAAGCATTCCCTTTGAAATCCAGCACTAGACAAGGATGCCCTCTCTCACCACTCCTATTCAATATAGTACTGGAAGTTCTAGCCAGAGCAATCAGGAAAGGAAAAGAAATAAAGAGTATTCAAACAGGAAAGGTGGAAGCCAAATTGTCTCTATTTGCAGATGACATGATAGTATACCTAGAAGACCCCATCGCCTCAGCCCCAAAACTCCTGAAACTGATAAACAACTTCAGCAAAGTCTCAGGATATAAAATCAATGTGCAAAAATCACAAGCATTCCTATACACCAGTAATAGACTTAAAGAGAGCCAAATCAAGAGCGAACTGCCATTCACAATTGCTACAAAAAGAATAAAATACCTAGGAATACAACTTACAAGGAACGTAAGGAACCTCTTCAAGGAGAACTACAAACCACTGCTCAATGAAATAAGAGAGGACACAAACAGATGGAGAAACATTCCATGTTCATGGTTAGGAGGATCAATATTGTGAAAATGGCCATACTGCCCAAAGTAATTTAAGACTCAATGCTATCCCCATCAAGCTACCATTGACTTTCTTCACAGAACTGGAAAAAACCACCTTGAACTTCATATGGAACCAAAAGAGAGCCCGCATAGCCAAGTCAATTCTAAGCAAAAAGAACATAGCAGGAGGCATCACACTACCAGACTTCAAACTATACTACAAGGCTACAGTAATCAAAACAGCATGGTACTGGTACCAAAACAGAGATATAGACCAATGGAACAGAACAGAGGCATCAGAGGCAACACAACATATCTACAACCATAAATCTTTGATAAACCTGACAAAAACAAGCAATGGGGAAAGGACTCCCTGTTTAACAAATGGTGTTGGGAAAACTGGCTAGCCTTGTGCAGAAAGCAGAAACTGGACCCCTTCCTGACACCTTACACTAAAATTAACTCCAGATGGATTAAAGACATAAATATAAGACCTGGCACCATAAAAACCCTAGAAGGAAATCTAGGCAAAACCATCCAGGACATAGGAGTAGGCAAGGACTTCATGAACAAAACACCAAAAGCATTGGCAACAAAAGCCAAAATAGACAAACGGGACCTAATCAAACTCCACAGCTTCTGCATGGCAAAAGAAACAGTCACTAGAGTGAATCAGCAACCAACAGAATGTGAAAAATTTTGGCAGTTTACCCATCTGACATAGGGCTGATATCCTCAATTTACAAAGAACTCAAACAGATTTACAAGAAAAAAACAAACAAGCCCACTTTAAAATGGGCAAAGGATATGAACAGACAGTTTACAAAAGAAGACATACATGAGGCCAACAAACATATGCAAAAATGCTCATCATCACTGGTCATCAGAGAAATGCAAATCAAAACTACACTGAGATACCATCTCACACCAGTTAGAATGGCAATCATTAAAAAATCTGGAGACAACAGATGCTGGAGAGGATGTGGAGAAAAAGGAACACTTTTACACTGCTGGTGGGAGTGTAAATTAGTTCAACCACTGTGGAAGACACTGTGGTGATTCCTCAAGGCCTTAGAAATAGAAATTCCATTTGACCCAGCAATCCCATTACTGGGTATATACCCTAGGATTATAAATCTTTCTACTATAAGGACACATGCACACGAATGTTCATTGCAGCACTGTTTACAATAGCAAAGACCTGGAACCAACCCAAATGCCCATCGATGACAGACTGGACTGGGAAAATGTGGCACATATACACCATGGAATATTATGCAGCAATCAAAAACGATGAGTTCATGTCCTTTGTTGGGACATGGATGAATCTGGAGAACATCATTCTCAGCAAACTGACACAAGAACAGAAAATGAAATACCACATATTCTCACTCATAGGTGGGTGATGAACAATGAGAACACATGGACACAGGGAGGGGAGCACTACACACTGGGGTCTGTTGGGGGGATAGGGGAGTGACAGTGGCGGGGGAGCTGGGGAGGGATAGTATGGGGAGAAATGTCAGATGTGGGTGAAGGGGAGGAAGACAGCAAATCACACTGCCACGTGTGTACCTATGCAACTATCTTGCATGTTCTGCACATGTACCCCAAAACCTAATATGCAATTAAAAAAATAATAAATAAAATAAAAATAACAGCAACCCAACAACATTTACTTACATATGATCATTTATTTTAAACCACACATAGTGGCTGGGTTCTATGGCTCACATGTATAATCCCAGCCCTTTAGGAAACCAGAATGGGATGATCACTTGAGTCTAGGAGTTCAAGACCAGCAACAGGTTTAGAAAGAAACACATACTAAATTTAATTAATGGAATTGAATAGTAAGTTTAAAAAAAGTCCCACATATAAAAATATATAAATGGTATATGTTAATAGTCCAATAACCATGAAGGAAATTAAAATAGCAACCAAAGACCTTCCCAACCACTCCCAAAGCCTCAGCACTGGTGCTAAACTTTGAAGGATTAGATAATGTCTATCTTACGTGAGTTGTTTGAAAAAGCATAAAAAGAGAAAGCCACCTAACATTTTATGAGGCTAATGTAATAGTGATGCTTAAACCAGATGAAGACATGATAAATGTAATTCATCAAAGAATAAAGACGAAAAATCTTACATTAAAAAAGAGCTAACCTGCTGGGCTCAGTGGCTCACACCTCTTAATCCCAGCCTGGGCTGGTCTCTAACATAGTGAAACCTCATCTCTACAAAAAAGCAAAAAAAAAAAAAAATTAGCTGGGTGTGGTGGCATGCACCTGAAGTTCCAGCTTCTTAGGAGGCTGAGGTGGGGGACAGCTTGAGCCCAGGAAGTTGAGGCTGGAGTGAGCTGTGATCATGCTACTGCACTCCAGCCTGGGTGACAGATCAGGACTCTGTCTTTAAAAAAAAAAAAGGGAATCCAAAATTGAACCCAATCTAATAATGTACTAAAAAAATAACATGATTAAACAAATTTAGGTATAGAATTCAAGAATAATTCATTATCAGAAAGTCTATCAGTGTATTATTAGTATAAAAGAGAAAAGTTACGAGATTATCTCACAGATAAATAAAAGTATTTAACAAAATTTCAACATTTATTTATGATTAAAGACTTGTAGAAAAAAAGGAATAGAAAGAAATTATCTTAATTTGATAAAGGCTACATACCCTGAACTGATACCAAACAACCACCACACTTAATGGAGGAGTTTCAGGTATAACCCCCGTGTAGGATAAGACCTAGTTGCCCGGGAAGCCCACTCCTATGAGCTGTTGCTGCTGCTACAGGGTAGAGGGCTAGGCTGCTGGGCCAGAAAAGAGAATAGATCACGACATCACAGAGAAGACACAGGCATATGAACTAGCAGGAGGACATAAAACCGTATCTGCAGATGACACTAATCATCTACATAAGAAACTGAATGAAATCACCAAAGTATTATGATTCATATCACAATTCAATAAAAAGGCTGCACATAAGAAAACCAGTATTATTTCCTCTACATCAGGAATAAACCAAAGAATTATCATTCACAAAAATAAAAACTGTAACAGATGTAGAAATTAACAAAAGAACACTAGAGATCTTCAAAAACAAAATTTCCAAAATCTAGTAAAAGATAAGGAGTTACAATAAATGTAGGTATCAACATGTTAAGGCAATCAAACCTCCCCAAGTTAGATTTATAAATTTTCTGCAATCCCAATAAAAATTCCAGCTGGATTTTTTTTTTGAAATGCAGTTTTGCTTTTGTAGCCCAGGATAATAATAATGGCATAATCTTGGCTCACTGTATCCTCTGCCTTGCCTGGTTTAAGTGATTCTCCTGCCTCAGCCTCCCAAGTAGCTGGGATTACAGGTATGCACCACCGTGTGCAGCTAATTTTGTATATTTAGTAGACATAGGGTTTCACTATGTTGGTCAGGCTGGTCTCAGACTCCTGACTTCAAGTGATCCACCGGCCTCAGTGGTGGGGTTACGGGCAGGAGCCAGGTGGGCCTTTTTTTAAAAAAGTTACCATCTTGCTTCTAAATGGTCTATGGAAGAATAAAAGTTCGCAAATAGCTAAGCCAATTCTGAAAAAGAACAGAGTAGGCTGGGTGCAGTGGTTGGCACCTATAATCCCCACACTTTGGCAGGCAGAGGTGGGTAGATTAGTTGAGGTCAGAAATTCAAGACCAGCCTAGCCAACATGGTGACATCCTGTCTCTACTAATAATACAAAAATTAGCTGAGTGTGCTGGTTATGTCTGTAATCCCAGCTACTTGGGGAAGCTGAAAAGGGAGGAAAAAAAAAGAGCAAAGTGGGCTGGGTACAGTAGTTCACACCTGTAATCCCAGCACTTTGGGAGGCAGAGGTGGGTGAATTGCTTGAGTCTAGGAGTTTGAGACTAGCCGGGGCAACATGGTGAAACCCTGTGTTTACAAAAAATAGCTTGGTGAGGTGGCACTCGCCTGTGGTTCCTGCTACTTAGGATGCTGAGGTGGGAGGATTGCTTGAGCCCAGGAGGCAAAGGTCACAGTGAGCTAAAACTGTGCCATTGCACTCTAGCCTGGGCAACAGAGGGAGACCCTGTCTCCAAAAAAAAAGGAAAGGAAAAAAGAAAGCAAAAACAGAGCAAAGTGATTCTCCTGCTTCAGCCTCCCAAGCAGCTGAGAGGAAACCTGCCATCTATGTATTAAGACATAATATTATAAAGTCCCATAAATAACAGTCTGTTTCCAGGTCACACTGACACCAAGAGAAGATTAGAAAGTCTGGAATAAATACAGCTGCCTTCAATATCCACCAAGGATTGATTACAGGAATGCTGCAAACACCAAAATCTGTAGGTGCTCAAGTCCCTGATAAAAAATGGCATAGTGTTTGCACATAATCTACGCATATCCTCCCTTACAGTTTTTAATTTTAATTTTTTTTTGAGACAATGTCTCGCTCTGTTGCTGGAGTGTAGTGGCACAATCATAGCAAAATCAGTCCTTCGCCAATTAAAAAAAAAAATGAAAACATTTAGGCCTAAGAAAGTTCTCAGAACTATAGAAAAAAATTACAAAATTACACTCCGCATGCATTAATTCAACATTAATTCTATAGTACTACTACTTAAGGATCATATAGAAAAGATTACTAGTAGTTTTAAAAATTGGTTTTATAGTGGCGATTCCTCAAGGACCTAGAAATAGAAATTCCATTTGACCCAGCAATCCCATTACTGGGTATATATCCAAAGGACTATAAATCGTTCTACTATAAGGACACATGTACACGAATGTTCATTGCAGCACTGTTTACAATAGCAAAGACCTGGAACCAACCCAAATGCCCATTGATGACAGACTGGATTGGGAAAATGTGGCACATATACACCATGGAATATTATGCAGCAATCAAAAATGATGAGTTCGTGTCCTTTGTAGGGATATGGATGAACCTGGAGAACATCATTCTCAGCAAACTGACAAGAACAGAAAATGAAATAGTGCATGTTCTCACTCATAGGCGGGTGATGAACAATGAGAACACATGGACACAGGGAGGGGAGCACTACACACTGGGATCTGTTGAGGGGAATAAGGGAGGGACAGCGGGGCGGGGGGAGTTGGGGAGAGATAGCATAAGGAGAAATGTCTTACCTGTGTGTCCATTTCTTCACCTTCCATCAAGTATTTTTCCCAAGTCAAAATCATCTGTCTTTTCTAAAATGTGACAGAAGAACTTCATTAGCTTTCTTATATCTATCTTCAAAAAAAATCTCAAAACTAAAGGAAAAAAGACTAATAAGACTCAAAATAAAATACAATCAGATAAAAATTCAAAACTATTGAAACATTTGTTAAATTGATATTCTAAAGCATTTAACATTTTAATTAACTCATTCTCAAAGGTGAGTGTTCTCTTTCTCCTACGGTTTTTTGCCTTTATTCATAATGAAAGGAGATGCTACTTTTCAGTTAGAGATTAGTACAATTTTTTCCTCATCCAAATTAACAAATACACGAATTATAAAAATCCCTACCATACTGTGATTAACTTTTGTGTCTTTCTTAAAGACCAAGGCTATAACTTCTTTAATTTCTAGGGCCTAGAATTCTAAATGGCCACAATTTAAAAAAATGTAAACATGAACTATTCATTTTTCCAAGCTTCGTAACATTAGAGCATAGCCTATGTAACTAATGTATATGTATATAGCATAGCCTATGCAACTAATGTATATGTACGTAGCATAGCCTATGCAAAAAACGTTTTGCCTTTTTTCTTATTGCAGCCAGCAATCTGTACTTAAAAGAAATAAAATTTCACCACTGAAAACCACATGTGATTCTATCCCAGTAAACGGCTGAATGGAACACCACTTTACCTCTAATTTAGGTATAGGTAATGTAGTGTTCCAATTTATGAAGGCAAATAGTAACCTCTACTGTCTCTCCCAGCTCTAAAATGATGAACATCTGCCTACTGTTATTTAGAAATATTAATAGAAAAATAACTTGGGATTCAGCATTTAAGTTTATTATTTCACACATTGTATATTTTTATAAGTTACAGTTAAGAATTCAGTTTATTACTTCAGATATTTGGCATGTTTTAAAAGAATCTGAAAGCCCTGTATTTCTATTATAAACCAACTAACTAGACACTTTATGGGCTATGATTATTAAGGTAACTAGGATTATAGGTTTTGAAAACCTGATCATTATTCAAGAAGATTTTTACTGAAATTAAACAGGTAGAACATTAACATTCTTTTACTAATAATTTCATTATTAATAACGAACTAATGTATTGTTTAATTTATATCTCACATAAAGAAAAATAGGAGCTCTCACTCCACCTAAATATCTAAACTCTGCAAGTCTTTAAAAATTAGTTACAAGAGGCCGGGCGTGGTGCTCACACTTGTAATCCCAACACTTTGGGAGGCCAAGGGGGGCAGATCACAAGGTCAGGAGATTGAGACCATCCTGGCTAACACGGTGAAATCCCGTGTATACTAAAAAGAAATACACACACACACACAGAAATTAACCAAGTGTGGTGGCACAAGCCTTGGGTAGCTGAGGCAGAGGTTGCAGTGAGCCAAAGTACATAGAGATGGAGTCGCTACGTTGCTCAGGCTAGCCTTGAGTACCGACTGGGCCTCCCAGAGCCCTGGGGTTGCAGGCGTGCACCCCGGCCCGAAAGAACCCAGTCCCACGCTTACCCAGAGACTATCAGGAGAGCCTGGTCAGTGTCCAGCGGGCGGTGACAGGGCCTGCGAGGGCTCCCCGTGGCCTCGTCCGCCGCAGCCCCGCACTCCGCCCCAGCTCGTCCTGTTCCAGGGAACCCGCGCCCCGCCCCAGCGGTTCCTGTTCCGGGAACCCGCGCCGCGATCCCCAGCCCTGACCGCTATGCCCCGCGCCGCGACTCCCCCGCGACCCCCCGCCCTGTGCCGCCCCACCCCGCCCCACGATCCCCAGCCCCGCGCCGCGACCCCCGCCCTGCACCGCTCCGCCCCGCAATCCCCGCCCTGCGCCGCTCCGCCCCGCAATCCCCAGTCCCGCGCCGCGACCGCCCCGCGACTCCCCGCCCGGAGCCCCACACGCTCAGCCCCGCGCCACGCCGCCCCGCCTCGCACCTTAAGTTGGACCAGGCAAAGTTTAGGGCGAGCTGGAAGTTGGCGTCTGTCTCGTCCTGGAGGCCGGCGACATTCCAGACGAGCTCCGGCAAGTCGCGCTCCTCCTGCGGGTCCAGCGGGCTCCAGGCTGCACAGGCCGCCCCATGCTCCGCGCTCCTGCAGCGCGCGCCTGACGGCTGTTTGCGTGAGAGTTCGGGCAGCTGTTCGCGCGAGAGTTTGGGCTCGCGCGACAGTCGCTTTCTGAGCCGCCGGTTTTCTCGCATAGTTTGAGCTATCATGCCGGGCAACTGGTGAACGGGCAGTCACTCTCAGGAGCCTTCAACCGCCCGCTGTGCCGGGTACTGCGTGTGCATTTTCTGCTGTGCATTTTCTGGTCGGTAGGTACCCTTTCCGGGGCGCGGTTTAGAGGTGCGGGGACCTCGAGTCAGGTTTAGGGGTGGGGGACCTGGAGCCCGGGGCGGGAGCTGGGGACACTGGGGCCAGGGCGATCCCGGAGGCTGCGCCGCCGTGGGGGCGGGGGGCTCAGTCCCGGCCCCGCCGCCCTGGTAGGCCCAGGTTCCGAGGGCTATCCGGACCCCACGGAGGCCACAGGGCGGACGCGGGCGCGCGGGGTTCCTCACCTGGGTCCACGGCGGCTTGGGGGTCCGGGCGGGGCCCGGGAGTTTCCTTGGCCTAGTGAGTCAGTCGGGCGGGCAGGGAATGCGCCAGGAAACGCTCAGCCTCTTGCCTCCTCTCTTTCCTCCCGGGGCGGGGGCTCTCGTGGCCCGGCCTCTTCCTCCCGGCACTCCTCCCTCCCGGCCGCGGCCCCGCCTCACGCCGCCGCGGCCTCTGCCGCTCCCTCCTCCTGCCGGGCTTACCACTGGGTGGCCCGCTGCCGCCACCATTTCAATCTGCAAAGCAGACCCTAGATGATCTGCCTTTCTGATATTCCTTGGCCTCAAGTTCTTCTGGTTTCTTTTTTAGGTACTTGGAGAGAGGATAAAGGGAGAAGGAAATGTCAGAGAAAAGATCAGTGTCGGCTGGGCGGAGTGGCTCACGCCTGTAATCCCAGCACTTTGGGAGGCCGAGGTGGGTGGATCACGAGGTCAAGATATCTAGACCATCCTGGTCAACAAGGTGAAACCCCGTCTCCACTAAAAATACAAAAATTAGCTGGGCATGGTGGCGTGCTCCTGTAGTCCCAGCTACTCGGGAGGCTGAGGCAGGAGAATTGCTTGAACCCAGGAGGCGAAGGTTGTGGTGAGCCAAGATCGTGCCATTGCACTCCAGCCTGGGTAACAGCGAAACTCCATCTCAAAAAAAAAAAAAAAGTCAGTGTCACTGGGGCAAGCCATGGCCTGAGCCCTGGCTCTAGCCTCCAGGTGATACTGAGGCTAAAAGTGTTGTGCTCCTCAGGCCTCCTTGTTGACCCCAGTGAGTACTTCACACTGAAGCAGAACGATGCCTGCCCAAAACACTATCACTTTACTTCCAGTGATTGGGAGGCCTGGGGAGCAGGCCCTGGGTCCTGCACAGTTCCATGTAAGGCCCTGGCTTTGCAAACACCTACCCCAGTGCTCCTGTGTACACTCTGTGAAGGCAGACTGGGAGTCAGGGGAAGTGGAAACGGACACAGCCATGGTCTTGCGAGGCCCCTGGTCATCAGTGTGCCTCTCACAAATGCTTCCAAGTCCTCCTCAAAGGGAAGGGACTATTCATCTGTTTGTCACACTGCTATAAAGACATTCCAGAGAATGGGTACTGTGTAAGAAAAGAGGTTTAATTGGCTCACCGTTATGTGGGCTGTACATGCAACTGCTTCTGAGGTGGCCTCAGGAACCTTACAATCACGGAGGAAAGGCAAAGGGGAAGCAAGCTGTCTTACATGGTGGGAGCAAGAGGAAGAGACAGAGGAGGAAGTCATGTATACTTTTAAACAAGCAGATCTTGGGATAACTCTATCACAAGACAGCACTAAAGGGATGGTGCTGAATCATCAGAAACCACCCCGATGATCGAATTACCTTCCACCAGGCCCCACCTCCAACACCGGGAATTACAATTTGAGATGAGATTTGGTTAGGGACTCAAATCCAAACCATGTTAGGAAGATTGCCCTGGAGGCCCAGAAAGGCCTGAAGTGTCAGACCCTGGTCCTCTGTGGGCCTGGTCATCAGTGGTGTCTCAAGAAAACATTTCTGAGTTCTCCTCTGGAGGAGGAGGCCCAGGCCCAGGCCAGTGAGGCCACCAAGGGAGAGTCCCAGGCCTGGCCATGGCCCTTGCTTCAGACACTCTTTGAAGTAGGGACTAGCCCATGACAGATATAGAGACCCCAGCAATGTGTCCTAGGCTGTGGCTGCCAGCTATGCCTTGAAGGTGGACACTAGCCTGAGCCAGCCACAGGACTAAAGACTGTGCTCATGGGGCAGCCATGGCCTCACATGGGATGTGGTCCTAGGAGGTACCCCCAAAACCAAGTTTCTAGATCCCACTCCCATGATGGAGAGCCAGTGAGAACCAAGTGGTGGTCAGTCCTGCATGGGCTTGGTCATCCCATGCAAGCCCCCAAATATGTTCATGTCCCCCACCTGAAAAGGGTGCACTGTGGAAGTGCCTTGGCCCAAGAAGGGTCAGGGGTCGGTCCTGGCCATCTGATATACTTGTGGAAAATATTTCTGTTCTGTGGGTAGCACTGAGCAAGATGCTGTGAGATGGTGCCCCAGGTCCAAACACAGTCCTATGTGGGGTCTGGTCATTGGGTGAGCCTCCTGAAATTTTATCTAAGTCTCCCTCTAGAAACAGAGACTGTCTTGGGATGAAGAGGGAGATCCAGTGAAAGCACCACCCTGGCTGTGTCCCAGACATAGCTTAGTCACCAGCTGCTCCTAAAATATTTTTCCATGTCTCTGGAATGGATGGCCAGTGATTCCTGTGGGGGGTGTCGGTGTACTTGACACTGGTTTAGAAAATATTTCAAAGTCTACCTCTGGGCTGTGGTGCCTACCCCTGTGTTGGTGGGGACTAGCCAGCCTGAGAAGCCCCCTCAGGGTGCAGGCTCCAGGCTTGATCCATTTGGTCAATGCCTCTCCCTGATGATTTCTATTACTCTCTGGAGATGGGGACATCTTGGCATGAACAGGAAGGCCCTGGGGATGCCAAGACTAGTTACATTGCTGCATAGGACCTGGTTCCTTTCAGTGGCAGGACTGGCCCATGCCACTGAAAGACCCAGCCTTGTGGGTCTGGTCAGGGCATGAATCTCCCTGAAACATTTCCAAGTAGGCCCTTGGAGTGGGAGCAGTGGGCTGACTAGAGGAACCCAGGGGAACGCATCTGGCCTCGATCACACAGAGTCCCAGTACTTGGTAAACTAGACCAACAAATCTGTAAGTATCCAGGGGTCAGGACAAGCACAATTTGGATGGGCCAGAGGAGGGCCACTCAATCTTGCCACAGGTCCTCATGGGGCACAGATGGATGTGTATCTTAAAAATATTTCTGTCTCTCTCTAGCAGACAGTTCCATGGAGGGCCCTGGAGTTCTGTTGCATGGTGAACCTCCAAGGGTTTTCTAACTCTCCCACTGCAGGGGAAGTGAAGCTATCCAGGGGTCCCAAGGTGGGCCCATGCAGCCCTTGCTGTTGAACATGCCTTCAGAAAACGTTTCCAACTCACCTGCCAAGGTTGATGGCAGCTGGAGCAACTCTTCACGCGCTGGGAGGATTTCCAGGCCCACTGAGGTTTCTTGAGGGACTGGTCCCAACTTGGTACCTTTGTAGAAAATGGGTAGCTGTAAATGCATTGATTTATTTCTGGGTTATTTATCCTGTGCCATTGGTGTACATGTCTTTTTTTTAATGCCAATACTATGTTGTTTTGGATACTAGAGCTTTATAGTATGTATGTATGTATGTATGTATGTATGTATGTATGTATGTATGTATGTATTTATTTGAGATGGAGCCTCACTCTGTCACCCAGGAGTGCAGTGAAATAATCTCGGCTCACTGCAGCCTCTGCCTCCTGAGTTCAAGTGATTCTCCTGCCTCAGCCTCCCAAGCAGCTGGAGTTACAGGCATGAGCCACCATGCCTGGCTAAGTTTTGTATTTTTAGTAGGGACAGGGTTTTTCCATGTTGGCCAGGCTGGTCTCAAATTCCTGACCTCAAGTGATCTGCCTGCCTCAGCCTCCCAAAGTGCTGAGATTACAGGCATGACCCACAGTGCCTGGCCATATTTATTATTCATTTTGTATATATTTAATGGGTACAAGTGCAGTTTTGTTTCATGGATATATTGCATCGTAGTGAAGTTTGGGCTTTTTGTATATCCATCACTTGAACAGTGTACATTGTACCTAATAGGTAATTTTTCACCCCTCACTACACTCCCACCCTCCCACCTTTTGGAGTCTTCAGTGTCTATTATTCCACTCTCTGTGTCCATATGTACCCATTGTTCAACTCCAACTTATAAGTAAGAATATGTGGCATTTGACTTTCTGCTTCTGAATTATTTCACTTAGGATAATAGGCTCAGGTTCCATCCATGTTGCTGGGAAAATATTATGTCATTCTTTTTAATGGTTGAGTAGTATTCCATAGTCCACATTTTCTGTATCTAATCATTCATTGATGGACACTTAGGTTGATTGAATGACTTTGCTGTTGTGAAAAGTGATATGATAAACATGAGTGCAGGTGTCTGTCGTGGAATGATTTGTTTTCCTTTGGGGAGATGCCTAGTACTGGATTGCTCAATCTAATGGTAGTTCTGTTTTTAGCTCTTTGAGAAACCTACATAACATTTTCCATAGAGGTGTACTAATTTATATTTCCACCAACAGTCTATGAGCATTCCCTTTTGTCTATATCTTCACTAACCTCTTTTTTTTTTTTTTTTTACTTTTTAATAGTAGCCATTCTGACTGGTGTGAGATGGTATCTCCTTGTAGTTTTCATTTGCATTTCTCTGATGATTAGTGGTGTTGAGCATTTTTTCATGTTTGTTGGCAGTTTGAAAAATTTCTGTTCATGTTGTTTGCTGACTTTTAAATGGGATTATTTTTTCTTGTTGCGTTCCTTGTAGATTCTGAATATTAGTCCTTTGTCAGGTGCATAGTTTGCAAATATTTTCTCCCACTCTGGTTGTCTATTTGCTCCGTTGAAGGCTCACGCCTGTAATCCCAGCATTTTGGGAGGCCAAGTTGGGCAGATAACAAGGTCTAGAGATAAAGACTATCTTGACCAACCAAAAATAAAATGAGACTAAAAAAACATTTTACAAAGACAGCAGAAGAAGTAAATACTTAGGAGTAAATTTAACAAATGTGCAAAAGTTATAATCTAAGAACTCTAAAATATTGCTGAAATAAATTTAAGAACACTGAAATCAATGAGAAGATATCTAATATTCATGGATTGGACAATAACCCTCCACATTTGACCTACAGCTTCAATTAAGTCTCTAGCAATCCCAGGTGACTTATTTATAAAACCTTGTCTCTACTCAAAGTACACAAATTACCTGGGTGTGGTGATATGGGCATGTAGTTGCAGCTACTGGGGAGGCTGAGGCAGGAGACTTGTTTGAACCCAGGAGGTGGAGGCTGCAGTGAGCCTAGATTGTGCCATTGCACTCCAGCTTGGTGATAGAGTGAGACTCCTTCTAAAAAGGAATGAAGGAAGGAAGGAGAGAGGGAGGGAGGGAAGGAAAGAAAGAAAGAGAAAGGAAAGAAAGACAAAGAAACGGAGGGAGGGAGAGAAAGAAAAAAAGAAAAGGAAGGCACTGTGGTAGTTTCTCATAAGATTGGACATACATTCACCATAGGTCTCTAAAATTAAGGTATATTTATGCTAATTTGTATATGAATGTTAGTAGAGCAGGATTATTCACAATATGAAGGTTTCCAACAACTGGTGTGGAGGTGTGCCAAGGTCAATGATGATACCCTTGAAGTGGATTTACATCATATATTCACTTAACATATATTTAATAATTGATGCAAATCTATATATTCTAGAGTAAAACCACCTTGAGTTCAAATTGCCTATTAAACAAGAGTATGTACAATAGTCATATATGATATGGGCTTTGGTAAGAGACTGTCTGGAGATAAAAAGTTGGGACTCATCATACCATTCAAAAATGCATTGTACAGGAAGAGATAACCAGGAGATTGAGATTAAATGCATCAGGAATAATTCAAGTAAGAGACAGACTAAGAAATAAATGTGGGGAGGACTCAAGATGGCGCTGTGAGAACAACCCAGGATTGAAGCTCTCGCTGGACGCACGGAGAGGGTGAGTTGGGGAAGCATTTCCAGACGGATCTTATTTGCCCACAGAACGGGGAAATTCCCAGGTATAAAAGAGACACGGGACGCCAGGCAGAGGTCTCCGCTGGCGTAGCCGGCAGCCGGTGCGGCTCCGGCCTGTGCCGGAGCACGGAGGCGCTCCACAGCGCTCCATACAAAAGCGCACTGTTATGGGTGCCCTGTTGAACCGGCAAACTAAGACCCGAGAGGGCTGAACTTGAGACTGAACGGGTCTTGAACTGTGACCCAGCCCAGGAAATCCCAGGGACTCAGCGTTTGGGGGAGTGCAGTGCGACAAACAAAACGGCGATTCCAAACGCTCCCGGTGAATAGGTTTTTTTTTAAAGTGCAGCTCCGCGGGGGAGGGGCATCAGCCAATACTGAGGCAATCAGCCCCTACTGAGGTACATGCCCATTGCTGACGCAGCCTGCCTCTGCCGAGGCAACCCGGTACAACAGAGAGACTCCGCAGCAGGGCATAGCCCGAGGCTACAGGGCGGAGACCACAGCAGAAGGGCGGAGCCTGCAGGAAAAGGGCGAACCTCACACCAGCAGGGCGGAGCCTCGGCAGGCAAAAAGTGACTAGACTGCCTCCTAGCTGGGCAGGACAGTGAGGCGGACACTCACAAGGAAAGCCCCAACCCCCACCCCCAGACAGAGCATCTGAGGAAAAAAAAGGGGTTTTCTTACAAGTTAGGTTGCAGCAGAACTAAACATAACAGCCTAGCAGCCCTGAATGAACAACAGAGCTCACAGCTCAGCACTTGAGCTCCTACAGACTGTCTCCTCAAGCAACTCCCTGACCCCTTTACATCCATAAGACTGACATTCGGCAGACATCATCCTGGGACAAAGATAGCAGAAAAAGAAACTGGTAGCATCCCTCGCTGTTCCGCAGCCGCTACAGGTGCACCCCAGACAAGCAGGGCCTGGTGTGGACCTCAGCAGTCGTACAGCAAAGGTGCTAGACTGGTAGAAGGAAAACCAAGTAACAGAAATACTCCATCATCAACAATCTGGGTGTCCACTCAGAGATCCAATCAAAAAGTCAGTAACTACACAGACGACAGGTGGATAAATCCACAAAGATGGGAAGAAACCAGCGCAAAAAGGAGGAAAACACCCGAAACCAGAACACCTCGCCACCTAGAAAGGACCAAAACTCCTCACCAGCAAGGGAACAAAGCTGGACGGAGAATGACTGTGACGAAATGATGGAATTAGACTTCAGAAGGTAGATAATGAGAAACTTTTGCGAGCTAAAAGAACATGTTTTAAATCAACGTAAAGAAACTAAGAACCTTGAAAAAAGATTTAAAAAAAGATTTGAGGAAATGATAACAAGAATGGATACCTTAAAGAGGAATATGAATGAATTAAAGGAGCTGAAAAACACAATACGAGAACGTCGCGAAACATGCACGAGTTTCAATAGCCGAATTGACCAAGCAGAAGAAAGAATATCAGAAGTCGAGGATCAACTCAATGAAATAAAACGAGAAACCAAGATCAGGGAAAAAAGCGCAAAAAGGAATGAACAAAGTCTCTAAGAAATGTGGGACTATGTGAAGAGACCTAACCTACGTTTGATAGGCGTACCAGAATGTGATGAAGAGAATGAATCCAAGCTGGAAAATACTCTGCAGGACATTATCCAGGAAAATTTCCCCCACCTAGCAAGACAGGCCAACACTCAAATGCAGGAAATACAGAGAACACCACAGAGATATTCCGCAAGAAGAGCAACCCCAAGGCACATAATCATCAGATTGAACAAGGTTGAAATAAAGGAGAAAATACTAAGGGCAGCCAGAGAGAAAGGTCGGGACACCCACAAAGGGAAGCCCATCAGACTCACAGCAGATCTCTCGGCAGAAACTCTACAAGCCAGAAGAGAGTGGGGGCCAATATTCAACATCCTTAAAGAAAAGAACTTTCAACCCAGAATTTCATATCCAGCCAAACTGAGCTTCAGAAGTGAAGGAAAAATAAAATCCTTTGCAAACAAGCAAGCACTCAGAGAGTTTCTCACCACCAGCCCTGCTTTACAAGAGCTCCTGAAAGAGGCACTACACATAGAAAGGAACAACCAGTACCAGCCATTCCAAAATCACACTAAATGCTAAAGAGCATCAACATAATGAAGAATCTACAACAACTAACGGGCAAAACAGCCAGCTAGAATCAAAATGGCAGTGTCAAACTCACACATAACAATATTAACCCTAAATGTAAATGGACTAAATGCACCAATCAGAAGACACAGACTGGCAAATTGGATAAAAAGCCAAAACCCAGCAGTGTGCTGTATCCAGGAAACCCATCTCACACGCAAGGATACACAAAGGCTCAAAATAAAGGGTTGGAGGAAGATTTACCAAGCAATTGGAGAGCAAAAGAAAGCAGGAGTTGCAATCCTCATCTCTGATAAAATAGACTTTAAAGCAACAAAGATCAAAAGAGACAAAGAAGGCCATTACATAATGGTAAAAGGATCGATACAACAAGAAGAGCTAACGATCCTAAACATATATGGACCCAATGCAGGAGCACCCAGATACATAAGGCAAGTTCTTAATAATTTACAAAGAGACTTAGACTCCCACACAATAATAGTTGGAGACTTTAACACTCCACTGTCAATATTAGACAGATCAACCAAACAGAAAATCAACAAGGATATCCAGGGCTTGAACTCAGACCTAGAGCAGGCAAACCTGATAGACATTTACAGAACTCTCCACCCCAAATCCACAGAATATACATTCTTCTCAGCACCACATCACACCTACTCTAAAATTGACCACATAATTGGAAGTAAAGCACTGCTCAGCAAATGCAAAACAACTGAAATCATAACAAACAGCCTCTCAGACCATAGTGCAATCAAGTTAGAACTCAGAATTCAGAAACCAACCCAGAACCGCACAACTTCATGGAAACTGAACAACTGGCTCCTGAATGTTGACTGGATAAACAACGAAATGAAGGCAGAAATAAAGAAGTTCTTCGAAACCAATGAGAACGAAGACACAACATGCCAGAATCTCTGGGACACATTTAAAGCAGTCTCTAGAGGAAAGTATATAGCAATAAGTGCCCATATGAGAAGAATGGAGAGATCCAAAATTGACACCCTATCGTCAAAATTGAAAGAGCTAGAGGAGCAAGATCAAAAAAACTCAAAACCCAGCAGAAGACAAGAAATAACTAAGATCAGAGCTGAACTGAAGGAGATTGAGACACGAAAAACTCTCCAAAAAATCAATAAATCCAAGAGCTGGTTTTTTGAAAAGATCAACAAAATAGACAGACCACTAGCCAGATTGATTAAAAAGAAAAGAGAGAACAACCAAATAGATGCAATAAAAAATGATAAAGGGGAAATCACCACAGATTCCACAAAAATTCAAACCATCATCAGAGAATATTACAAACAACTCTATGCACATAAACTAGTAAACCTGGAAGAAATGGATAAATTCCTGGACTCCTGTGTCCTCCCAAGCCTAAACCAGGAGGAAGCTGAAACTATGAATAGACCAATAACAAGGTCAGAAGTCGAGGCAGCAATTAAGAGCCTACCACACAAAAAAAGCCCAGGTCCAGACGGGTTCACAGCCGAATTCTACCAGACACACAAAGAGGAGCTGGTACCATTTCTTCTGAAACTATTCCAAATAATCCAAAAAGAAGGAATCCTACCCAAATCATTCTACGAGACCAATATCATCCTGATACCAAAACCCGGCAGAGACCCAACGAGAAAAGAAAACTTCAGGCCAATATCCATGATGAACATAGATGCAAAAATCTTCAATAAAATATTGGCAAGCCGATTGCAACAGCAAATCAAAAAACTTATTCATCATGATCAAGTAGGATTCATCCCGGGGATGCAAGGCTTGTTCAACATACGCAAGTCGATCAACGTAATTCACCACATAAACAGAACCAAAAACAAAAACCACATGACTATCTCAATTGACGCAGAGAAGGCATTTGACAAAATTCAGCAGCCCTTTATGCTAAAAACCCTCAATAAACTCGGTATCAATGGAACGTATCTCAAAGTAATAAAAGCTATTTATGACAAACGAACAGCCAATATCATACTGAATGGGCAAAAACTGGAAGCATTCCCTTTGAAATCCGGCACTAGACAAGGATGCCCTCTGTCACCACTCCTATTCAATATAGTACTGGAAGTTCTAGCCAGAGCAATCAGGCAAGAAAAAGAAATAAAGGGTATTCAAATAGGAAAGGTGGAAGCCAAATTGTCTCTATTTGCAGACGACATGATAGTATACCTAGAAGACCCCATCGCCTCAACCCAAAAACTCCTGAAACTGGTAAGCAACTTCAGCAAAGTCTCAGGATATAAAATCAATGTGCAAAAATCACAAGCCTTCCTCTACACCAATAACAGACTTAAAGAGAGCCAAATCAAGAATGAACTGCCATTCATAATTGCTACAAAAAGAATAAAATACCTTGGAATACAACTCACAAGGAACGTAAGGGACCCCTTCAGGGAAAACTACAAACCACTGCTCAACGAAATCAGAGAGGACACAAACAGATGGAGAAACATTCCATGTTCATGGTTAGGAAGAATTAATATCGTGAAAATGGCTATACTGCCCAAAGTAATTTACAGAATCAACACTATCCCCATCAAGCTACCATTGACTTTCTTCACAGAACTAGAAAAAACCACCTTGAACTTCATATGGAACCAAAAGAGAGCCCGCATAGCCAAGTCAATTCTAAGCAAAAAGAACACAGTGGGGGGCATCATACTACCGGATTTCAAACTATACTACAAGGCTACAGTAATCAAAACAGCATGGTACTGGTACCAAAACAGAGATATAGATCAATGGAACAGAACAGAGGCATCAGAGGCAACACAACATAGCTACAACCATACAATCTTTGATAAACCTGACAAAAACAAGCAATGGGGAAAGGACTCCCTGTTCAACAAATGGTGTTGGGAAAACTGGCTAGCCATGTGTAGAAAGCAGAAACTGGACCCCTTCCTGACACCTTACACCAAAATTAACTCCAGATGGATTAAAGACTTAAACATAAGACCCAGCACCATAAAAACCCTAGAAGGAAATCTAGGCAAAACCATCCAGGACATAGGAGTAGGCAAGGACTTCATGACCAAAACACCAAAAGCATTGGCAACAAAAGCCAAAATAGACAAATGGGACCTAATCAAACTCCACAGCTTCTGCACAGCAAAAGAAACAGTCTCTAGTGTGAATCGGCAACCAACAGAATGGGAAAAAATTTTTGCAGTTTACCCATCTGACAAAGGGCTGATATCCAGACTATACAAAGAACTCAAACAGATTTACAGGAAAAAAACAAACAAGCCCATTCAAAAGTGGTCAAAGGATATGAACAGACACTTTACGAAAGAAGACATATATGAGGCCAACAATCATATGAAAAAATGCTCATCGTCACTGGTCATCAGAGAGATGCAAATCAAAACCACATTGAGATACCGTCTCACGCCAGTTAGAATGGCGATCACTAAAAAATCTGGAGACAACAGATGCTGGAGAGGATGTGGAGAAAAAGGAACACTTTTACACTGTTGGTGGGAGTGTAAATTAGTCCAACCATTGTGGAAGACGGTGTGGCGATTCCTCAAGGCCTTAGAAATAGAAATCCCATTTGACCCAGCAATCCCATTACTGGGTATATATCCAAAGGACTATAAATCGTTCTACTACAAGGACACATGCACACGAATGTTCATTGCAGCACTGTTTACAATAGCAAAGACCTGGAATCAACCCAAATGCCCATCAATGATAGACTGGATTGGGAAAATGTGGCCCATATACACCATGGAATATTATGCAGCAATCAGAAATGATGAGTTCGTGTCGTTTATAGGGACATGGATGAATCTGGAGAACATCATTCTCAGCAAACTGACACAAGAACAGAAAATGAAACACCGCATATTCTCACTCATAGGCGGGTGATGAAAAATGAGAACACATGGACACAGAGAGGGGAGTACTAAACACTGGGGTCTACAGGGGGAAAAGGGGAGGGCCAGTGGGAGGGGGAGGTGGGGAGGGATTGCCAGGGGAGAAATACCAAATGTGGGTGAAGGGGAGAAAGCAAACAAAACACACTGCCCTGTGTGTACCTATGCAACTGTATTGCATGCTCTGCACATGTACCCCAAAACCTAAAATGCAATAAAAAAAAAAGAAAGAAATGTTATATTTAACCAAGTGTGGTGGTCTTTTCTATGACTGCATAGTATTCCATGGTGTATATGTGCCATATTTTCTTTATCCAGTCTCTCATTGATGGGGATTTGTGAACAGTGCCACAATAAACATATGTGTGCATGCATCTTTATCATAGAATGATACATACTCCATCGAGTATATACTTAGTAATGGGATTGCTGGGTGAATATTTCTATTTCTAGATCTTTGAAGAATTGTCACACTGTCTTCCACAATGGTTGAATTAATTTACAATTATACCAACAGTGTAAAAGTGTTCCTATTTCTCCACATCCTCTCCAACATCTGTTGCCTCCTGATTTTTTAATGACCTTTCTTCTAACTGGTGTGAGATGGTATCTCAATGTGGTTTTGATTTGCATTTCTCTAATGACCAGTGATGATGAGCGTTTTCATATGTTTGGTACATAAATGTCTTCTTTTGAAAAGTGTCTGTTATATCCTTTGCCAACTTTTTGATGGGGTTCTTTGCTTTTTTCTTGTAAATTTTTTTAAGTTCTCAATAGATTCTGGATATTAGCCCTTTGTCTTATGGGTAGATTGCAACCTTTTTTTCCCCCAATAAGGACAACAAATTAAAAAAGAAACTATTATATTTGGCAAAAAGTCAGTTGATGATGTTAAATAGAGTGCTTTGGGTGGACTGTTTTGGATGAAAGTCTGACTGGTTAAGGTAAGTGGAAATTTCAAATGAGTATATTATCAATGGCAAAAATGGTCAGCTGATGTTTAACATTTTAAATTTAGCAATTAGGGTGTCATGGATGACCTTATTGGAAAAAACTGTGAGTTCACTGTTGTAGGATAAAAACCTAAGAAAGAATAAGAACTGATGGAAAGGAAATAGCTAATAGAAATTCTCTGTGGAAATTACAAGCAGAAAAAAAGTATCATAAAAGACAGTTTTTGTTTTGGATCATAAAATATGGAGTTTTTAATAAATATGTGATAAGGATATAAGGACAGTGATGAGGAGAATTAAATAAATTACATGAAAGAAAAAAATTAAACATAGATGGGTTGGACGTATTTTAAAATGTAATAATGATTTTGTGTTTGAACAAATAAGTACATATAAATAAAAGTGTGATTTAGATCACAGTAACAAACAATGAAAGTCAAAGAATTTAATACTCTGCAGCATAAAATTTAACTAAAGGATTGGAGGAAACAATATGATAAATTCTGAGAATAGAAACAATGCAAAGAAAGTTCAAGAAATGAACATCTTATCAAATAATAATAAAATAGACAACTACTTGCTTCTTCCCTCCCTTTTTATTTTAACTACTATTTTTACTTTTCCCATTGATATATTTTACCAAATGACCAACATCTTCTATGGAAATACTATCTTTTCTCTCTTGAAATTCGCATTAGTTATTACTCATTTTATGCATTTTCATTATATTAACAGCATTTTTAGTCAAAAAATTCTGTCCAAAAATTCTGTTCTAATATTTACTTGATTTGAAAGTACTGTTGCCTTTTCCTTATTATTTATATTGTTTTGTTCCCACACATAATGAACAGTTGATCTTCACAGTAGTAATTGTTCTGGCAGTTTGTCTAGAGACAACTTAAAATTAGCTTCTTTCCTCCACAAAAGAGAGTTTCAATTTATTATTACCATGCAAAGTCTGAATTTTGTCTCTATTTAAATTCAAACTTGATTAATAACTTCAGAGTTAAGTAAAAAAAAAACCATAATTTAAATGCAAAATGACCAACTTCTAAAAATAAGTGGAAGTAAAGGGCTCACTATTATGTATTCCTTTCCTCATGTGGAATATCTCCTGGATAGTTTTCGTAGTATCATCATGGGTAGACTTGGCTTAGACCTTGTGCTGTGTTGTTTTGGTGTATGTCAGCTACAGACATTGACTAAAAGGCACAGAAAGAAAACTTATGGGAAATGAACATTTCTTTCATACCACTTGGAGATAGGACTGTCATCTTGGTGTTAAGAGGTGGTTAATGCCTCTGAGAAGTTTGATTGTCTATTTCTTTAAAACAATGTTTTCTAAAGATACAATGCCTTAGGTTAGAGATTTTGGTTGAATATTCCCTAAATCAGACATAGATTTTTCTATTATGATTAGTAATCCATATTTATCCATTAACATTTCCTAGATAAAGTGAATTATATGGAATCTCGTTCTCTTCTTTTTGGATTGTATACTGAATTCTGCTGGATTCACTGACAAGAGTTTGAATTAGCGGAACCCTGAGAATGGAGACACCTTTAGAAGAGACTGATGAAGAAGGTACAGGAGGAGTTTTATCTTCAGAAGTAGAAATTAACCTTGGCCGCAGATCCCATCCAAGCTTTCCTTTTAGTGTTTTCTTGTCAACTCTTCTCTACTCTACTGAAGTGGCCTTCGCTTTGTATATGTTTTTTATTTATCAGAAAGGTAATGACATATACTGGACGTCATTTACCATCAGCTTTATTATTATGGGGGCAATTTTTGATCAAATTACCCTGCTCTTTTTCAACAAAGACTCGAGGAATAAGGTTGTGTTACTTTTTTGGCATATTCTTCTTTTAGGACCTATAGTGAGGTAAGTGACACAAATATTTCTCATTCACTGTTTCCAACGAGTAAATTGAATATAAATAGTCAGCTAACAAGATTAAGGATGTCGTAATTAATGTTTCTCTAATGGACATGCTTCCCTGTTTAGTTTTATTTTGTTTTCACAATTTTGAAAGGGTTACTGTGTGATTGGTTGTAAGATAATAGTAATTTTATAAAGTGCAAATGGAAATGTCAGTCATTTCTTCTGTTCTTTTTATGCACATATTCTATACCAGTCTTTTTTTTATTTTTTTCATTCAGCCTAATGGGCATTTTAAATAGTTATGGGGGATAAATATGTAACCCTAAATTAAGAAGGAAGAGTAGGATAAGAAGAGAGAAACCCTTGAAAATAATCTCATAAACTTTGTCAACTCAAGGGATTTAATTTTTTAATGGTAGATTCTCCAGACATCCTTGAATTTGTGGCTGTCACTTGGAATATCAAAATGTAGCTATGCAATTTATTTCCACATCACTTTTATTTGTTACTTTACTAATTTGTGTTAATACTATAAATTTTGTAAGATCTAATTTGAGCCAGTTCTGTATTTATAGTTCAAAGTAATAACATGTATACACAATTATATACATTTTATTTTGAACTAACATGTATACACAATTATATACATTTTATAGAATTTGGAGTCACTGGGTATAAGTGTTACCCTTTATTAAAAAGGTAAAGTAAAATACAAAATTACCTGGAAGTGGTGGTGTGTGCCTATAATACTAGCACTTTGGGAGGCCAAGGTACGTGGATCATGAGGTCAGGAGTTTGAGACCAGCCTGGCCAAGATGGTGCAACCCCATCTCAACTACACATATGAAAGTTATCTGGGAATGATGGCACGTGCCTTTAATGATAACTCAGCTACTCAGGAGGCTGAGGCTGAGAATTCCTTGATCTCAGGAGGCAGAGAGATCAGTGAGCCAAAATTGTGCCACTGCATTCTAGCCAGGGCAACAGAGTGAGACTCTGCATATATGTATACTCTGAATATATTTATTTATATATATTTATTCTGTAAATGCACAAAATGCAGAGTGGTTTACAAACATATGCAAAAATTTGAAACCTCAAAGTCTAATCTTCTATACAAAGAATTAGTAGCAACAAGAACAATTAGTAACACTAGCAGGACAATAAACACTCCTGCATGGCCAAAGAGTTAAGCCCAGTGACAGTTCGTGAAGTGATTTTGTGCCATTCTCTGGAGCTAATTTAGCTTTAATTGACTGTATCTCCTGAAAGACAAGGACTTAGGCAGAAACCACAAGAAATGAAGACATTAGCCACAAAATTCAATAAATAAATAAAACCCCTGACAATATTAAAACTAGTAATCCATGTGTTGTAAAAACGTATCTAATTTTACTATTTTAAAATGCTAATCAGTATTTTGTAAAATTTTTGCAATAGGGTGGGTGTGGTAACTCATGCCTCTAATCCCAGCACTTTGGGAGGCTGAGGTAAGAGGATCATCTGAGGTCAGAATTTTGAGACAACCCTGGCTAACACCCGTTTCTACTACAAATACAAAATTAGCTGGTTGTGATGGCGTGGGCCTGTAATCCCAGATACTTGGGAGGCTGAGGCAGAAGAATCAGTTGAACCCAGGAAGCAGAGGTTCCAGTGAGCTCAGATCACACCATTGCACTCCTGCCTGGGTGAGAGAGTAAGACTCCATCCCCCCTGAAAAAAAAATCTTGCAGTAAACAACATTAGATGAAAAGAAAAATAACTTATAAAAATATGCCTGTAAGTGGAAGACACTAGATTACCCATTTCCTTAAAAATATTCAAAGAAATGTGAGTTATAGGTAATAAAGTATTTGTTCAATATATCTCCAATATAAACTTGACCATTTTCTTTCCATCCTCCACTTTTCCCCCACTTTTGATAACTCATTTCTTCTTTTACTATCTTTTCATATCCTACTTTCTTCCATCATAGTGTTATCTTATTCTAAAAAAATCTTTATGAATGGTTCAATGCAGTGAAAAGAATGGTGAATTCTCCCTGGCTTGAAACAAGATATTTGCAATATACTTGTTGAGAATGTATGTTTAATATTTAGACTATTTATTATTGAAAGAGATTCTCTCAGGGAGACTATGTTCTACTAAGCAGAAATAAAGATTTCCAAATTATGATATATATGCCTTTTCTTTTTCCCATATGATATGGAGATATCTATTGTCACTTAAAATGTCAGTAATAAACTTTTATTTCCTCTCAGAACCATGCACTGTTTAGAAGCCTATTTACATAAAGCCATATAAAAGGCTTTAAAATATATTTCTTTATTGCTAATGACAATAATGGCCATGTGTTTATTATGTAAATTTCTATATGTGGTTTACTTTCTGGTGTGGTATGTAATAATTATTCTCTAGGTGTTCCAGATTATATGACATGCTATGAAGTGTATAATATATATAAATAGTTTAATTATGCAATTGCATGTGACATCTATATTTCTATATATGTTCCACATGCAAATGATACAAGAATCAGCCATGTTAATGATAATGATCTTGATTTATCTAGTAATTAAATAAATATGTTAATGTCTCTTACTCATTTCTCTGGCAGTAGCACTATTATAGTATCAGTTTTGTCTGTTTGTAGCTTTTCCATACATAGAATGAGAACGTCCTGTAATCATCTTTTACTTTTTTTGTAATATTATTTTTTAACCTTTTCTTCTCAGATTAGCAATATTCATTAGTATGTGAATAAACTGTAATTTAGTTAATGTCTCATCTGGTAATTATGTTGTAAAAATTTTTGTTTTACAAATAATTCTGCAACCGATTATATTTGTATGTGTTTAAATAAGAACGTCTATGGATAATGTAAAGGTGCTCTTAAATGTCACCACAAAGAAATGATATAATTTATATGGTGATAAACAGTCTTGTTGAATTTTCCTCCAAACTAGATGTATGAAAAGTGACTAATTATCATTTGCATAAAGAATAAGTCTTCACACTTTTGCATAAATTTATATATATTTGCATTTACCTTTTTAATGATTAAATAAACTCTTCTAGTGCTGGAATTATAGGCATGAGCCACCATGCCTGGCCTCTAATCTTTGTTTTATCTTTTAGTCAGTTTTGACATTTGTGAACTTTCTTTTTGAATTGTAAAATTCAAAATGGGTTGATAATTTTTACAGCTAAACATAAACACATTTCTTCAGTCAGCTGTTCATAATGGTTTAATGTTTTTCTCTGAAATTTTAAAATGTTTTTGTAATAAATTACAATAGAATTTTGCTATTGTTTGAGAGTTTTTATCTTACCAAATTCTCTATATATACACATATATATATAAGTTAATATTTTAGTTCTGTATACTTACCATGTGATATCATTTAATTTTAGGCAGGAGTGAGAACAGAATTAGGTAATTTATGTTTTCAAATATTAATTAAAATTATTTACTGTATAATTTAAAGGTCAGATTGAAAATGTCTCAACTTAAAACAATTACTTTTTCTATTATATTTAAAGTACCATAACTGAGTTTATTTTGTTATATTAATTAGCCTTACCCACAGGTTTAAAATCTTAGTTAATATGTATGTGAATAAATACAAAATCTTGCAGGTCAATTCTTTTTTAACTGTTTTTCACTGTATGTTTTAGGTAATCTCATGCTTATTTTTCTATGTGAATTTCAGAGTTAGCTGTTGATACATTTTATTTTATCAAATTAAATTTATAGATTACATTTAGGAAAGACTAACATGATTTCCAAGAACAATTCTTCATATTTATGCACTACATAGGAATTCATTTTTTAAGATTAATATCTCTGAAGTGGTTTGTGTGTTTTTTAATTGAAGTTTTTATAATTTTTAGGACTCTTGCATTATAGAGTTTACATTTTAGGTTAATAATATGCAAGGTATATTTTTATTTCATGTTTTATTTCTTTTTGTAGATGAGGGATCAAGTGATATTTCAAATTGTATAAAGATTGTTAACTGTTTTGTTATTGATTTAAAACAACTATTGCATCAAAAATGTGATCTGAATTATAAAATGAAAATGTATATTTATATATAAATAAAATGAACATATAAATGAAAATATATAAATATATAGAGTCTTGAATTATGATCTGAACTGATGTCAGCTATTGTAATTTTTTTCACTTGAGCTAAACTGGAAAGTGTGGCTTAATAGGCCTAATTTAGTTTCTTTGAGTGTGTGTGACATGAAGTTTCATTTTCTTTTGTTCAGGCTGGAGTGGGGTAGTGCTCACTGCAACTGCTGTCTAGCAGGTTCAAGAGATTTTACTGTTTCAGCCTTTGAAGTAGCTGGGATTATAAGTACCCGCCATCATTTCCAGCTCATATTTTATTTTTAGTAGAGAGAGGGTTTCACAAGGCTGGCCAGGCTGGTCTCCAAATCCAGTGAGGAAGTGTCTGACTGTCCAACCGACATTTGAGAAACTGTAGGACTGTTTCCAAAAGTAGCTACAATATCTTATCTTCCCACCAGCAATGACTAAGGGTTCTAACTTTTTACATCATAGCCCTAATGTGAATGAATAAAATCTCCTTGTGATTTTGGCTTTCATTTTTTCTTTGAATGATCCTGGCACCTTTGTTGAAAATCACCTATTGGTAAGCACAAGTGTAGATTTTGGACTGTCAGCTTTATCCCCTTGACCTAGATACTTATCCTTATTACCAGACAGCCTTGAGGATTAATGTTTTATAATAAGTTTTTTAGTAGAAAGTAGAAATTAACAAATTAAGTTGGTATTATTATTTTTGCAGAATTGTTTGGCTATGTGGAGTCCTTTGCATTTCTAACTGATCACTTGATTGTTTCTGCCAAACATTAATAATAACAATAAAGGCAACTGGAATTTTGATATGGAACAAATTGATTTTATAGATCAGTTTGGGGAGTACTGTCATCTTAACAATGTTAAGTCTATCAACCCAGGGGCATGTAATGCATTTCCATTTACTTAGGTGTTTAACTTCCTTCATTGATGTTTGGTAGTTTTAAATGTGCAAATCTTATACTTCTTCCTTAAAATTATTTCTAAATATTTTCCTTTTTAGGTTATTATAAATGAAGTTTTTTAAGCCTCATTTTCAATTGTTCACTGCTACTGTGTAGAAACACAGCTGATTTCTGTATAGTGATGCGTACCGAAACCTTGTTGAATCCATTTACTAGCTTAATTTTTTGTGTGTGAATTCCTTCAGATATTCTATATATAAAGTCATGTCATCTTGAGTAGAGGGAGTTTCATATCTTTTTACATTTGTTTTTCTTTTATTTCTTCCCCCATAGCCTAACAACTAATTATCTTGGGTAGAACTTCTAGTACCATGTTGAAAAATGAGTTTACATGTTTCACTTATTTCTGATATAAGGGAGAAAGTTCAGTCTTTTGTCAATAAAAAAAGTCAAACACTGTAAAATATTTTCAAGATATTTATTCTGAGCTAAATATGAGTAACCATGGCCCATGATAAACAATTCTCAAGAGGACCTGAGAACATGTGCCCAATATAGTCAGCCTGCAAATTGGTTTTATAAGTTTTAGGGAGGCATCCGATGTCAATCAAATACATTAAGAAATACATGCATTTTCTCCAGAAAGGCTGGACAACTTAAAGTAGTAAGGTGGGTGGATTTCAAGCTTTAGGTAAATTTAAATATTTTCTGATTGACAATTGGGTGAGTTTGTCTAAAGACTTGAAACATTCTGGTTAAGATAAAACAATGCTGTTAAAATAAAAATAAATTCCATGTGATGAGAATTTATGGTTTCCAGGGCATGACTCCTCATGCAACTTAGATAGGAATTTGGGCAAGATTAAGAAAGTCAGAGCTTAGTGGTCCTCACTTCTGTGTGAAATATTATGCTAGCTATTATTTTCCCTAACAAATATACTTTACTGTTCTGAGAAAGGATTGGTTGTTGAGTGTTTTTATTCTAATATGTGTTGGAATTTGCAAAATAATTTTGTCTGCCTGCTGAGATCATCCTGTGATATTTGTTCATTTTTCTATTAATGTGATATATTTTACTGATTTTTATATGTTGAATCTGTTACAAGAAACTAATCCTGATCCAGACTCCAAGAAAGGGTTCTTGGATCTTGTGCAAGAAAAATTCAGGGCAAGGCCACAGTGCAAAGTGAAAGCAAGTTTATTAAGAAAGTAGAGAAATAAAAGAATGGCTACTCCATAGACAGAGGTAGCTCATTTTTCTGGTTATTTCTTGATGATATGCTAAACAAGGGGTGGATTATTCCTGGCATGCCTCCCCTTTTTAGACCATATAAGGTAATTTCCTGATGTTTCATGGCATTTGTAAACTGTCATGGCACTGGTGGGAGTCCAGCAGTGAGGACGACCAGAAGTCACCTTTATGGTCATTTTGGTTTTTGTGCATTGTGGCTGTCTCCTTTGCTGCAACCTGGTTTATTAGCAAGTTCATTATGACCTGTGATTTTATGCTGACCTTTTGTTTTATCCTGTAACTTAGAATGCCTTAGCCATCTGGGACTACAGCCTCCTATGTTTCAGACTCATTTTACCCTGTCCTGTTAAAGATGGAGTTGCTCGTGTTCACACACCTCTGAGAAATCTCTTCTTGTTGCAGGATTACATCCCAGTTGGCTGTTGTGTATTGTCGTTTATATGTATTGCTTGGGTTGGCTTTCTAGTGCGATGTTGAGCATTTTTTTTTTTTTGGCTGTGTTCATAAAGGATGGTCTGCAAATCCTCCTAATCTTCTCCTGGTTTTGAACATGCTACTGCATTTATAATAGGTTTTATTATATTCATGCCTGATGCATACATTTGTTGTCTTAAGACACCTTTGGTGTCTTAATGAGTGTGTAGAATGATTTACATGAATTATTGGATAAGATTAAATATTAGCTATTGTAGCTAAAAATGTCCTCAGTTATCTTCTTTCACTCCTTAGCTTCCTTTCTTTTGCTTTGTGAAGGTAAAACAATTGAATCAAATACCTTTCATTTCATATTCATGTTTCCACTTTATGAAAGCATCTAAATGCATCTTCATACTCAGCAATTAACTTCATACTTCTGGTGATGTAGATGAATCTATCAATAGTTCCTCCCTCCAAATCCAATAAAATTTCTCAGATAAGATCTTGGAAGATGAGGGATAGGAGAGAAAATGTTTTTCATATTTTCAGAAGCAAAAATAATGTAGAGATAATAAATGATTGTGTGTACCTAAAGGTCAAAGGTATCTAAAAGTTACAATGATACAATCTCCTATTTAATTTATCATACATTTAATAATTTCTAAGGAAGACCTAGCTAATAGGGTTTAATTAAATGATGTGTTATAGACATTGGATTATGTGGTAAGAGAGAGGTAAAACAGCAGGCAATGACAGAGGCAACTTCAGAGGTATTAAAAGCATCAATTTTTTAAAGAAGAGTGTTAATAAATTTTTTATAAATTTTAAAAATATATTCCTTTTTTGAGAACTGTAGTTGTATTATAACAGAAAATGGGCTCCAAACCATAAGAAGCCTATGATCTCATATTGGTCTTAAAGATTTATGCTGGATTTGTTCATTTTTTTCATGTCATTGTGTATATAGAAGCTTACATTAATAGGTTCTTCTAACAAATTAAAATACTATTTTGTACTGACCTTTATTACTGCTGATGATGCTTTTGGTTTTCCTTGAAATCAGTTTTTTTTAAAGTGCTAATAGCCTATTCTGTTGTTTGTTCTGTGTGGATATTTTTTTCTCTTTTTCTTCTTTGTTGATGGCTTTTATTTCTTGTTTTTATGCTTAATTATAACTATTTTAAAACACATGACCACTTATACTTGTGAACAGGTAACTTTAGTCTGTTTGCATGCATTATGTTATTTTAAAACTTGAACTTATTTATTTATGGAAATCGCATCTTGCTCTGTTGTTCAGGCTGCAGTGCGGTTTTGTGCATATTCCGCAACCTCACTGCAAATTCTGCCACCCAGGCTCAAGTGATCCTCCTAACTCAGCAACTGGGATTACAAGCATGCACCACCACACTCAGCTAATTTTTGTATTTCAGAGTTTCACCATATTTCCCAGGCAGAATTGTAACTCCTGAGCTCAAAGGATCTGCCCTGACTCTCCTCCCAAAGTGCTGGGATTACAGACATAAGCCATCATACTTGCCCACACTTATTTTAATTTTATTATTTATGTGTCTTTTCTGCTTAGGATATGTAAGACTTACTTAAGCTAAGAAGTCATGATGGTAACAATTTGAAATTCTTCTTCCAGTCATTATTTAAAAAATACTGCCAGTTCCTATCTTCTTTTAAAATTCTGATCAGATGTGTAGGCTTTGTCACTCTTTTCTTAACTGCCAGTAATCTCCATCTTATAGTTCCTACTTTTTTTCTCTTTGCTACTTTTTTTTGTAATTTTATTTTTCAGTGATCTAATTACCTTTTAACTATTTAATCCAGCCAGTTTATATATATATATATATATATATTCTAGAACTTCTGTTCTTTTTAAAGTTGTTCATCATGGAGAAATTGGTTCTGTTGGTTCTTTTTAAAATTATTCACCATGGAGAAGTTGTCCATTTTTACACTTCTGAAGCACTTTTTATTTTTTCAAAAAATTAATAATTTTGACTTGATAAGTTTTAAATAGGAAATATGCTGGGTTCATTTTTATACATTTTATTCACAACATCTTATTTTGTTTTTATTTGTGTTTTGCGATTTCTTATAAAGATCTGCTTATTTCCTACTGAATTTTATCTGTGGAAGTTCTTTGAGGACAACTTTGCAGTTAAACTTCATTACAGATCCTATTTGTGTTTGTTTTTGTCATGTACATAGAACTGCTTTAAGTACTCATTGATACGACTGCATTCTTATAATGATGCTATGTGACCAAAATTCCATCACTAGTCAAAAATCATAAATCAAAATATATTCCAAAGAAAATTTGGGTTTGTCTGAGGAAGTTGAAATTTGTATCATTGGAAGAACATTTTAAAACACCAATGTTTTAAAGTATATTTTAAGAGAAATAGCTTTTGTATGGGTCAGAATATAAATGCATTAGTAGAAGACTGGGATATTATTTAATCAAAGTGATTTTGAAAAAGTGAATTGACATGTATGAATGAAAGAATCTTTACTTTTTACTTTTTAATCTGTTGTTTGGATCCTTTTATCAGGCTGGAGTTACATATTATTTCAAGTTGAAAATGAGGGGGAGAATAAAATAAATGATGATTAGAAACTGTTAGAAAGTTATGTTTTATTCAGTGTGATTAAGTTAATGGGTGTAATTTAATGGTTTATTTCAAAATTAAGCGTTCATCTACTGATAATCTTTCAAATATTTCTACACATTTGTCACCAGAAAATGTTAATCTCCGATGTTGCTTCATATTAACAGGTGTTTGCAGACCACTGTATATTACCACAAATTATTGAAATATCTTACACTGGAGGTGGAAGAGAGTCGAGTTAGCAACCCAGCAAGAAACAAGATACTGGAAAGGAAGATTGTTAACTCAACCCGGTATATTTTAAGGCAGGACAATGCATTTAAATGCATGACAGTGGTTCAGGCTTTTGTTTCTTCTTTTCCACAATTAATTTTTCAGATATATGTCACTCTCACTATAAAAGAATTGCCTTGGAATAGAGGTAAGTTGGGTTATTTGATGCTGAAAATCAGGTAGACGAAGGTTGGGAGGGCATAATAATATAAGAGAAATTGGTAAGTTAAGATATGTAATCTGAAATTACAGATGCACTAAATTTTTTGTAAGATCAAATTTCTATGAATTTATTTGATTAGTAGTGTTTAAAAGGATGCCACTGGAACTTACAGAATTTAATATGCATAGAAGTTAGCATCAATTTATTTTATTGACCCCGAAGAGGTAAATTAAGCTTGATATAATATTGAGATATGAGGTGGTGGAATAAGTTATCTAAAACATATATTTATTATAATTTGCCTTTTGTAAATAGCATTGATTTTAATTGAAATGGAAACTGTGTGAAAATTAGAATGTGCTTAAGACTATAAAATTTTATAAAAGTCACCAAGCAAATAGTTCTGTATCTTTTATATTAAATTTTTACCTTAGATACAGGGAGTTGATGTGCAGGGTTGTTACATGGAAATATTGGGAAATGCTATGGTTTGGAGTGTGGATCCCATCACCCAAATTAGTAAGCATAGTACCCGATAGGTAGATTTTTAGTTTTTAGTCATCTTGTCCTTCCCTCCACCCACTAGTGGTTCACAGTGTCTGTTAGTCCTGTGCTTATGTTCTTGTGTGCTGAATGTTCATGTGTGCTTGTGAGTGAGAAAATGCAGTATTTGGTTTTCTCTTTTGTGTTGATTTGCTTAGGATAATGACCTCCACCTGCATTTATGTTGCTAAAAAGGATATCATTTATTTCTTTTGGAATTGCTTGGAATATTCTACATGCACATACATGGAATACTAGACAACCATACAAAATAAATCAATCATTTACTTTATGTGGTGTGCCACTGATGGTCACCTGGGTTGATTCCATGTCTTTGCTATCATGAATAGTACAGAAATGAACATATGACTGCATTGTCTTGGTGGTAGAATCATTGATATTCCTTTGGGTATATACCTAGGGATGGGATTGGTAGGTTGAAATAGTAGCTGTTTTATGTTCTTTGAGAAACTTCCAGACTGCTTTCCACAATGGCTGATCTAACTTATACTCCTACCAGCAGTATATAATGTTTTCTCAGCATCCTCACCCAGCATGTGTTGTTTTTTGATTTTTTAATAGTAGCCATTTTCGCTGGTGTGAGATAGTAACTCATTGTGGTTTTGATTTGCATTTCTATAATTACTGATGCTAAATTTTGTGTTGTGTTTGTCTGTCTTAGTTGGAGTTTCATTATTTTTGCACAGGATCTAGTACAATAGCATGCTTTTGGCTTACTGCAACCTCTACTTCCCTGATTCAAGTGATTCCCCTGCTTTAGCCTCCCAAGTAGCTAGACTTACAGGCATGTGCCACTATGCCCAGGTTGTATTTGTTTTGCTGTATTGGTCGGTCTGGTCTCGAACTCCTGACTGTACCCAGTTGGGGTGGCTCATGCCTGTAATCCTAGCACATTGGGTGGCTGAGGTGGGTGAGCATTTTTTAATATGCTTTTTGGCCACTTGTATGTTTTCTTTTTTCTTTTCTTTTTTTTTGAGACGTAGTTTCACTCTTGTTACCCAGGCTGGAGTGCAATGGCGCGATCTCGGCTCACTGCAACCTCCGCCTTTTGGGATCAGGCAATTCTCTTGCCTCAGCCTCCTGAGTAGCTGGGGTTACAGGCATGTGTCACCATGCCCAGCTAATTTTTTTGTATTTTTAGTAGAGACAGGGTTTCACTGTGTTGACCAGGATGGTCTCGATCTCTTGACCTCGTGATCCACCCGCGTCGGCCTCTCAAAGTGCTGGGATTACAGGCGTGAGCCACCAGTATGTTTTCTTTTAAGAAGTATCTGTTCATCTTCTTTTTACCTATTTTATAACAAAGTTATTTGTTTTGTGCTTGTTAATTTGTTTACATTTTTTAGATTCTGGATCTGAAGCCTTTGCTGGATGCATGGTTTGCAAATATGTTCTCCCACTGATAGGTTGTATGTTTCCTTTATTGACAGTTTCCTTTGCTGTGCAGAAATTCTTTCATTTAATTAGGTCCCATTTTTCTATTTTTCTTTTTGTTCCAAAGTTGCTTTGGGGATTTAATCAAAAAATGTTTGCTGCTCTCAGTGTCCAAAAGAATGCTTTCTATGTTATCTTCCATGATTTTTATAGTTGGAGGTGTTACATTTAAATCTTCAATTCATTTTTGAGTTAATTTTTATATATCGTGAAAGGTAAATGTCCAGCTTAAATCTACATATGGCTAGACAGTTATCCTAGAACCATTTATTGAAAAGAGAAGGCTTTCCCCATTGCCCGTTTCATTGGCTTGTCTTAGATTAGATAGTTGTAGGTGCGTGGCTTTATACCTGGGTTTTCTGACCTCTTTTCTTGGTCTCTGTGTCTGATTTCATACCAGTGCCAAGTTGTGTTTGCTCCTGCAGCTTTTTAGTGCAGTTTGAAGTCAGGTAGTGTAACACCACTGGCTTTGCTGCTTTTCTTTATGATTGCTTTGACTAATTTGGCTCTTTGTTGTTGTTGTTGTTGTTCCACATGAAATTTAAAAGTGTTTTCCTAATTTTGTGAAGAATGACATTGGCAGTTTGATAAGGATAGCACTGAATAATTTGAGCTCCTGCCCATTCAGTATAATATAGGCTATAGGTTTGTGGTAAAAGACTCTTAGTGGCCGGGTACAGTGGCTCATGCCTGTAATCCCAGCACTTTGGAGGCCAAGACAGGTGGATGACGAGGTCAAGAGATCGAGACCATCCTGGTCAACAAGGTGAAACTCCGTCTCTACTAAAAATACAAAAATTAGCTGGGCATGGTGGCGCGTGCCTGTAGTCCCAGCTACTCAGGAGGCTGAGGCAGGAGAATTGCCTGAACCCAGGAGGCGGAGGTTGCAGTGAGCCGAGATCGTGCCATTGCACTCCAGCCTGGGTAACAAGAGCGAAACTCCATCTCAAAAAAAAAAAGACTCTTAGTATTTTGAGTACATTATTTTAATGCTTAGTCTGTTAAGTTTGTCATGAAGAAATGTTTGATTTTATTGAAGATTTTTTTAATTTTGGTTTTTGCTTTTGATTTGATTTATGCAGTGATCACTTTTATTGATTTACATATGTTGAACCAGCTTTGCATTCCATGAATAAAGCCTACTTTGATTGTGTTGTACTAGCTTTTTGATGCACTGGGGAGTCTACTTAACTGATACTTTGTTGAGTATCTGTTCATGAAGGATATTGGCCAGAAGTGTTTGTTGTTGTTGTTGTTGTTGTGTCTCTGCCAGTTTTTGGTATCAGGCTGACACTGGCCTTATGCAATGAGATGAAAAAAAAAATACCCCCTCCTCAATTTTTCAGAATAACTTTAGTAGCATTTTATGAGTTCTTTGTACGTCTGGCAGAATTTGGCTATAAACCCGTCTGCTTTAGAATTTTTTTTCAATTATTGGTAGATTCTATGTTACCTAAACAATTTCAGGCATAGATTTTGGCCTATTCAGTTTTAATCTTTTCCTGATTTAGTCTTGGGAGATTGTCTGCTTCTGGGAATTTATCTGTTTCCTCTAGATTTTCTAATTTGTATCCACAGAGTTGTTGACAGTAGTCTCTGAGGATCTTTTGTATTTCTGTGGGATCAGTCATAATACTGCCTATGTGGTTTTGATTGTGCTTCTTTGGATCTTCTCTTTCTTTCCTTTTTCTCTCTTTTTCTGAGACAGAGTTTTTCCTCTGTCACCTGGGATGCAGTGCAGTGGCATGATCTTGGATCACTGACACCTTCAGCTCCCAGGTTCAAGCAATTTTCATGCCTCGGCCTACTAAAAAACTCGTAATACAGGCATGCACCACCATGCCTATTTTATTTTTTTAGTAAAGACAAAATTTTACTGTGTTGGCCAGGCTGGTCTCAAATTCCTGACCTCTAGTGATCCACCCAACCCAACCTCCCAAAATATTGATATTACAAAAATGAGCCACCATGCCCAGCCCCCCCGCCTTTTTTGTTAATTTAGGTAGCAGTCTGTCAATCTTATTTATTTTATTTTATTTTATTTTCAAGGGCTAAAATCTTGGTTTTGTTTAAGTAATCTTTTATATGGATTTTTGCATCTCAATTTGATTAACTTTTTCTTCAGTTTTAGTTATTTTCTTCTACTAATTGGGAGTTGTTTTCCCCTCTCAGTTTTTTTAGGTGCAGTTTGATTGTTAATTTGAGATTTTTCTAAATTCTTGATGAAGGTTTCTTAGGGTTAAACTTTTCACTTAACCCTACTTTGGCTGCATCCCAGAGATTTGGGAAAATGTTTTCTATTTTTAAACAATTATCTTAATTTCTGCCTAAATTTTCATGTTTACGTAGGAGTTATTCAGGTATAAGTTGTATGATTTCCATGTAATTGTGTATTGTGAGAGTTTTTTTGGTATTGATTTCTATTTTTATTGCAGCATGGCCCAAGATTGTGCTTTATGTAATTTCAGTTTCTTTTGAATTACTGAGGCTTGCCTTATGGCTGAGATGAGCTGATAGTCAATCTTAGACTATGTTCTATGTGCAGATGAGAAGAATGTCTATTCTCTGTTTCTTGGGTGGAGTGTTCATTCTATAGATGTCTGTTAGGTCCAGTTTGTCAAGGGCTGAGTTTAAGTTCAGTATTTCTTTGTTAGTCTTTTCATAGGACAAGTACTTGTTCTACAAATCAGGGTACTCCATGTTGTTTGTAGGTATATTTAGAATGGTGGTGGATTGCAACCATTATTATTATGTAATAACCTTCATTGTCCTTCTCAATTTTCTTTGGTTTAACATCTGATTTCCTGCTCTTCTTGTTTTTCATTTGCATGGTGGCTCTTACCCAGCTCTTTTACTTTTTGGCTACAGGTATCACTGGATGTGAGATGGGTGTCTTGAAGACAATACATGGTTGAGTTTTGTCAATTTATTCAGCCTGCCACTTTGTATCATTCCAGGTTAGTATTCATGTGTATAATTTTGATCCT